ACTAAGTAATTTCTCTCAGGCAGTTTGGATGACATTTTTATTCCTAGGTATGTGATGTTACCTGTTAGTAATAGTTAGGGGATAATTTTGAGGTACAGCATTCCAGTCAGTCCCACTTGTGGAAATGAAGATTTTTCCAGTTAATGGAATAATCAGATGAAAATTAATCAGTTTGAGTGCTTTTTAAATAGATTTAATGGGGTTGTGCAGAAAATGTAGTATGTTATCTGCATTTAAACTAATCTTGTGGTTGATGTTGTGGGTTGAGATACTATTGATTTTATCTTTCTGTCATATGGCAGCTGCTAATGGTTCTATGAATTATGCGAATAATAATGGAGAGAGTGAATATCCTTGTCAAGTACCATGAAAAAGTGTAAAGCACTGTGGGGTAATATCATTAGTTATAACAGACACCATGGGTGAGCAATATATTTGAGCCCAGTGTACAAAAGACTTTCCCAGGCTGAATTTATGTAACATGCTAAAAAGAAAGTCCCGGTGAACTAGAAGGTTTTCCTGCATCTAAAGATCAAACAACAGTATTTGTATAGGTTTCCTCCACGAGCTTAATAAGGGATGATAAGACAACTTATTATTTGATTAGTGTCTCCTTTTGAAAGTGGGCTCCCAAGTAATTCACCTGTCTAAGCATTGGTCCTTCATCGGGAAATCTCGAATTCCGGCCCCAGTGATGACATAGCTACACCAACTCTTGTGTTTCTGTGTTTAAAATACATTGAAAATATGAGAAATCTAAACTTTCATTGAGGCACAATAATTCAAAATTATTTTTTAAATATATAAGAATGACTGGTGCTTGCCGATGATCATCTTTTTTTATTCATTTTATTAGTGTTGTCAGTTTTACTTCATTTGAAACTTTTACTGAAGTGCCCCATTCGGTCTATACAGCACTACCAATTACAGGACCTTCATGCAGAAGAGTGGTCACCAACCAGCTGGCGGTAAAGACAGGCAGGACACACCGACAGAGGAGCGACAAGCGTCATGATGGCAAGTTATACAGTTCTATAAACATGAGCATTAAAAGGAACAAAATTGCAGCTTGTCATATCTTTCCCCAAAAGGATAGCAAAGCAAAGCCTGTCATAGTGGTTTGATTTGTGAAGACTGAGCTACTAAGACAGGCAAAGAAGCTGAAGGGGACAGAGAGTACTTGAATGAGCACCTCACAAAAAAGAACGCTGACATTGCCAGACATTCATGCATCCTAAGGAAACAAAATACAAGCAACATGGACAAGAAATTGCAAAGTGATGATATGGCTAACTGTAACACCTGAAGAGGCCAACACACCATTTATCAATTTACATGCTTCATAATTTCATGATCTAGTTGACTTTAATACTGCACTGATAATGTACAAAGCACAAAATTATTTACTTCCTAACTGTATTCAGATGTTGTTTGAAATTAGAGAGAGCCTGTATGAACTTAGTGGAATAGGTATGTTTAAAAACATGTAAAGACAAGTATAAAAAACAGATGTACATTATATAAGTATTGGGACACCTACACATTACATCTATAGGAGCTTTTATGACATCCCGTTCTAAGTCCATAGTCATTAATATGGAGAGTTTGTCCCCCTATAACAGCTTCCATTCTTCTGGGAAGCTTTCCACAAGATTTTGGAGTGTGTCTGTGGGATTTTTTGCCCATTCATCCAGAAGAGCATTTGTGAGGTCAAACACTGTTGGCATTTTTTTGAGTTTAAAAAAAAATGAATATATATATATATATATATATATATATATACACACACTTGTCTTGCTGAATTTAACAGAATGGGGAAAAATGTGGCTTTGCAAAAGTTAGGGTACATTATATATGTATACATGTGTGTGTGTGTGTGTGTGTGTGTGTGTGTGTGTGTGTGTGTTAAATTCAGCAAACAAGTGTGTTCTCTGAAGAGTATGTGTTCACTTATTTTCACTTAAACAATCTACAAAACACATAATTTGACCAAACGTTAGCATTCTACTGTACATCCTACAGATCACTCAAACCACATTTGAAGGTAGTCAGAAATGGATCTTGACCACATTTAACACAAGTGTAAACAGAATGTGTTTTCATTATTCATATACAGTTACATTAACAGAAGATGGTGGACACACTAGGCTGGAGTTTAATGGAATCAAGACCATTGTTCAAGACCAAGAGTTTATCCAGATATGACAGAGACACCAAAGCATGTTTACAAATGGTGCAAAAAGTTTCTTTAAGACTGATGTATGCAAATGACCTGGTCTAATTAGCTGCTGTGTTTTCACACCTCATTCAAAATACAGTCCGAGCTGAAACACTCATAAGTCAAACTTGAAGGGGCGGGGCTAAACTATTATAGGATGAATGGGTGGATATATGTATATGTAAATGTGTTGTTTTTTTATGACATCACGAATATATATTTGTTTGCATATATTGTATTGATTGTATTTGTGAATTAAATGATACATTTTTATATTTACATACTACATCAACCTCTTATTCCAAAAATGAAAATGTATTGCAAAACTGCACAGGTTTATTTAACCTTCATATACGTCTTAATCCCTGAATAAAGAGCAGGCATGATGAGACAGATTGTAGTTATGAGTCCTAGCTATGAGGACACCGAGGTCTGGACCTCGGTAGTTTCTTAAGGATTTTTTCACATTTCCCCATTCATGAGACTAAATGTAGAAACAGCTCCATTATGATAACGTGGTAGTCTGCTCAGGGCCACAGCCACGGTGTCACAGACCTACCCAAATGCGTATTTATTATACCGCACTTTTCACAATAATGAAATTTGAAGTTTTCTTTGAGCGCTGTTACTGTATTATGACCAATCAAAATCTGCCAAGCTCCGCCTTATTTTCCTAAACCCTCCAATCACTGCTTAGCAACCGCTGCTACACACAATTACTTCAGTAAGTTATCAGAGGCCATAATATTCGTAACTATCATTAGGACACCTGGCTCCTAAGGGTCTGAAGGGTTTTATTAGATTCAGTGTGGAAAAAAGTCACGTAACTACCCAATGAGCAGTGACTGGTTTTCAGCTGACCTCAGAACAGCTGTGGTTTGGCCACAGACTTAGCTGCCCACTCTGTTTACTACTGTATGAAACGCTATAGCCCTGAGTACCACAGTGACTTTGACTTCTTGAGATGTTCAGGTACGCAGCACACATGCTAACATGTAACATTGCCATGGTAAAATGTAGCTAGCGAAGAGTTCATGAGCGCAATTAGCACATTAAGATTGTAAAATGCAAACCCTATATTTCATTTTTTGTTTGGACTGCTCGTACTGTTGCTGGCTAAATCAGCATGCTTTAGTATAGCGAGCTTTCCTGTTAGCTGGGGTTTGGTACAGACAGCCTTTTATAATGTATATATAATGTGTGACTTGTCAGTAAGCAGTGAGGACAGAGATGCAGGAGAGACAGAAAGAGAGAGAAAGAGAGAGAGGGGGCAAATGAAAGAAAATCAAAACTACCACATGATTTAGCAAAGTTTTCAATATGTGTTTTCAGCAAATGTTTCAAAATAAACACATAAATAAATAGTTATACGATTAATGGAATAACCTTAAACAGGAGAAGTGGAGTCAAATCAGTTTATATATGTCAGTAGCAGTTTATAAGAGAATGGAGGGATGCGGAAGGAAATGAAAGGAAAAGGTACATAACAGTTATGGATCTCAAGTACAGGTAAAAGTATTAGTAAATAAAATTATTCAAGTAAGAGTAAATAAGTAGTTAATTGAAAAACTACTTAAGTACTGAGTTACTTAGTTACTTTTTCATATTTCTGCTGTCACAACCTGAACATACACTACATTGCCAAAAGTATTCGCTCGTCTGCCTTCACACGCATATGAACTTGAGTGACATCCCATTCTTAATCCATAAGGTTTAATATGATGTCGGCCCACCCTTTGTAGCTATAACAGCTTCAACTCAATGCAAAGAATCTGCATTGAATCTGCACAGAAAAACACTAAAACAAAAGTTCTGAGAGCTGAGACTGATCACAGTTCACTCTGCTAGTGCACATTTACACACCTTTCTGTGAGCTGTGTAAGGAACAAGGTTTACATTAAACTGCATGCATTTCATGGTTAGATGATTATATAAGACGTCCTAGTTTCCAGTAAAGTATTTCAGAATCCCTGAAAGACTGTGCAGAGGTTTTTACTGTTTAATTGAGTTCATTTAAGAGAAAAAAAAGAGTCAAAATTATTAAATTATTAAAATTATTATAAGTCGTATTGTAATTTTAGCAAGTGTCCTGCTGCCCATCAGCTCCCTGGACTCTAGCTTATGTTAATAGAACCTCTACAGACAATAAACACCTTCACAGCATTCAAACTGTGTATTTTCACTGATATCAGTTCAGAACATTTCTACCGTTAAAATCAGCAGCAACATCAGCAATTTATCCAGCTTTGATTTTACTGTAATATATTTCACTAGAAATCATGCTGATCACTTTATACAGAATCAGACATTATTACTGCATTTACTGCAGTTATACAGCTACACAGCCTCTCACAGGTAAAGACAAACACCAAGGCAGAGAGAGAGAGAATTAGGACAATATCCACTCCTATTAAATATTCAAAAAAGAGCTCTAAATTTCTGGAAACACATAAAATCCAGTGACCCCCAGTCACTCCACTATAAAGCACTGGCCAGTCAGGAGCTGATCATCGACAGGAGTCCCCTGAGCCAGCTGGTCCTGAGTCTCAGTGACCTAAAACCCAACGACATCACAGACACCAATCAGCCTGACCACACGCTCTACCAGAAAATCAGACCCAACCAAATTATCACCAAACAAAAAAAAAAATACATCACCCACCGGACTGAGACCACAAATCAACAACACAAACTTCAGTGCTATTCGGCCCTAAATCGAGATTATACATTAGCACCATACCTCACAACAATTAAAGAGAGAAAACGGAGGAAAGTATTGACGATGTACGGACTCAGTGAGCACAGTCTGGCCATTGAAACTGGCCGGGGCAGACAGACCTGGTTACCCAGAGAGGCCAGACTGTGCTCTCACTGTGAGCTCTCAGTGGTGGAGATGGAGCTGCACTTCCTCACAGAGTGCCCGAGATACGTCTCCATTAGAAAGGAGTTCTATAAGAAAGTGAGCAGCGTCTGTCCTGAGTTTGAGCTCTGCAGTGACTCTGAGAAACTGGCGTACGTGTTAGGAGGGAAGAGCGAGCTGATCACACACGCAGCGAGATACGTGACAGCCTGTCACAACCTCAGGGACGACCAGTGAGGATAACCAAATAACTGTTATTGATTATTATTGATTATTATATATCCTGAAATTTGCCTTGACTCTTTTATTTTCCTTTTCTTTTTCTTTGATTACAAATAACCATGTAAATAACATAATTTCTAGTGTTCTATTATAATCTATAACATTATCTTTTTCTTATTTATGTTTATGTGTTTCTTATTAACTGCTTTGGCAATAGTGTGTTTCATTACATTCATGCCAATAAAGCACTGCTGAACTTGAGCTTCGAGAGAGAGAAAGAGAGAGAAAGAGAGAGAGAGAGAGAGAGAGAGAGAGAGAGAGAGAGAGAGAAGGCGGAGAGGTGGGGAGGGATCAGATCAGGCCAGTCAACGACAGCGCGACAGAATCACTGCTCTTCACTGAGTTTATGAAGAGCCTGTATTAGACTAAATTTCTTGTCTCAAAGCCGTTCACGACTGTTTATCTCCAAAACAGCAGCTAAACTAGGCTGTATAAACAGGTAAACTGCAGACTGTGGGCGACACCTGTTAACTAAAGTAGCTGACAGACACTTTTCCAGATTTCCAGTTTAATAAACAGAATCATTATAAAAGACAGAAGAAACCCGTAAACACGGTACCTGTTTAGCTCAGATCAGCTAGCTCGGCTAACTCTGCCTCAGGCTGGAGTCGAGTTGTGAGAGCGAATCTCAGCAGGTTTCGTATTTGGCCGCTGATTATAACGCCGTTTTCTTTAGTTCGTGTGAAAATGAATACTGGATGCGGTCTGTTCCTCGTGCGTGCTGGTTAAGATCTCCTTTATCTTTCTTCACTAAACTGGATCTCTCTGTACTGTTTTTCCTGCTGGAGCTGCTGTTTTTTGATTGGTGAACCTTTTAAATTTAACCACGTTTTGTTCCTATACGTTTCTGAACTGATACGCCCATAATTTATTTTTACTGTGTAACGTTATGAAAATTAAAGTAACGAAGTAAAACTATTTAATTAAAAATTAACTCAAGTAGAGGTACTATGATTTAATTCTACTCCAAAAAGTACCACTACAAGGAAAACTGTACTCAATTACAGTAACGACAGTAAATGTAATTCGTTACATACACCTCTGCATGTATGACTGTTTTTTCTCTTATTACAACTCCTGTCAAGTGTCTCTTACAGTTTCTTTGTCTAATAGATCTACTATTCATTACTACTCATTATATATTAGAATTATATGATTACTAATTTACATTTTAAAACTTATATGAACACTTCCTCTTACTGGCCTGAGTTCTTTGTAAACGCACAAACACTCCTTCAGCTCACTTTTTGGTTATCATCTACCATCTTCAGTGAAGGAGCGACTTCATCAGGCCTTATTTTAGTACATGAGCTCAATGTGAGAAAGAAATAATGTGGTGAAACAGACACAGCACTCAGAAGACTATGAAGCTAAAACTGGTTTGATCTTAGCTGATAGCATGATGCTAGTGCTATTGTGTGTTTTAAGCTCGTTTGCACAGTTTTTTTTTAAAGTGTAATGCCTTTAAATGGGTATATTTTTGCACAGCTAAACCGTTAAGATGCAAACAGAGTCTTTCAGGAATTGTTCACAGTGGTGGTGATACTTCCCTTTGATGTGAACACAGTTTTACCCTATGATTAATCTGCTGTTTATTTCTTGATAAAGGTGTGATTGTGTATTGTGTGATGAGTGTTACTGAGCTGGATCAGCTGTATGTTTTTCTCTAAATCACCACCAGGGGGAGTCACAGTGCTGACTGCACTGACTGCACTGCTCCTCTAACCATGTAGATCAGCAGCTTTGTCTGACTTTACTCTCTCCCTGTGAAACACTGACTTACATCAGTTTAGAACATACTGATAAATCTAGGTGAACTGAATCTCACAGTGTGGAGGATTTTATATTCACAGGATTTCAGTAAACATGTATTCCTGGTTTTATCTTTTATTGCATGATATCTGTAAAGGGTCTCTCAGTGTCTGTGTTTCTAATGGAACTACTATCATATAACACATGTCATAGTAGAAGCTTATTTCCAGGAACTCAGAGCCTTCTGCCTTTATTTTGCAGCATCTAACTATTTTAAAACTATTTTTAAACTGTTAAACTATTTTTAAAATAGTTGAACACTTTCTCATTCTGGTCTGAGTTCTGAGTTCCTCTTCACAGTCCCATAAAAAATGGAAAAATATATATTCCAAATGTATTTATGAATTTAATAAATTTTTTGCAATGTATGAAAATGGCCAAAATATTTACTTATTATTTATTATGTATGATTAAATATATTTGTAAAAATAAATATATTTATAAATAAATATATTTGCATTTATTTGTATTTGTTATATGAATTTTTCAATGTAGTTTTAACAAGGGTTACACTAAATACTACTGACTTGTGTTACGCACTGTACTTTGCATTTACCATGTATGTAAGCAGTAAGACAGCACTCACACAAAGTCGATTTCAAATAAACAAGATACAAAAATCATAACTGCATTTTCAGTGTATCAGTACCTACAACACTTGCTTTCACTATGTTAAAGGTTCATTTGCCAATATTTAAAATTAAGATACTGAAATACAAATTCAAAAAAGGTATTAAAAACAGTAAAGTGCTTTAGACAAAAAAAATCAATTTTCATACATTTTCAAATGATTAATATATTTACATATTTTGTATGATACATCTCTATGTGTATTGTTTCTCTATGTATTTTAAGATAAATATATTTAAAAATATATTTGGTTAACATGGCAATATATTCTGAAATACATTTTAGTGTTTGGAATGTATTTCAGAATTAACTGCAATGCATTTGAAATGTATTTCAAAGTGTCCATATATATTTTTTCTGTATGGGTAGTAGAAAGAGGCCCGACTTTAGGCTGTATGTTAAAGTTTAAAAAGTTTAAATGTAAAGACATAATGAGTTTTTATGATTCAGTCAGCTGTTTTCAATGAGACTAAAAATGTATCTCTTATAAGCAAAAACTCCACAATGCTGCAGCTCCTACACTTAATACAGCAGTCCAATAACCTTCTAGGCACGAAATGAAATTGTTACACGTGGACAAAGCTTTTTTTGCAGTAAGGTTGTACCTCAGAAAAAAAAAATTAAAAAGTGAAAGTGAATAATTATTGATCACTCTTAAATGTAAGTTTTATTTCTGCAGGTTGTGATCTGGTGAAGATTGGAGAGACAGGGGAGGTGACAAGGTTCTCAGGAGAGTCTGTAGTCCTGCTCTGCTCCTGCACTGACCTACAGACCAAACCAAGCACTGTTAAATGGGAGTTTACATCAGTAAAATCTGCAACCTCTTACTTTGAAGAAATATACTCTTCACAGACTGGACAGCACAGAGACAGGGTCAGACTGACCAATAAGAACTCAGGAAACCTCTCTCTACTCATATCGGACCTGACTGAAGAGGATCAGGGACTCTACAGGTGTTCAGTCCAGAGAGATTATAAATATATCAGACTTCATATTAAAGGTAAACGGTGTTTATCTGTAGTGATTGTGAACATCATTAATAGTGATTTTTACTCCAGTGTTGTGTTTGATGGTAACAGATAAAGCTAATCAGGAAGTGATTTATTGTGTTTGTGAGTGTTTGTGTTTATGTGTCTGGTCGTTATTTATCTCTGCAGTGAGAGAAACTCCAACAGACCCAACAAAATCTCCATCAGCATCTCCATCAGAACCGCCCACTACAAACCAACAGACAGCATTCAATCTACAGCTCAGTCAAACAACTGTCCATTTAAATCAGCATTGAAAGAAAGAGTCTCTTTCTGCTTTCTTAATCTTTACATGTGTTAGTTTGTTTTATTATACAGGTCTTGGGATCCTTGTGGTGTTGCTGCTTCTGTTATCTGGAGTAGTGACAATCATCTGCTGGAGACACAGAAGTACAACAGACACACACACACACACACACACACACACACACACACACACACACACACACATACACACATACACAAACACACACACACCAAGCCCCAGATTGGATCATTCACCACATTAAAATATTGTTTAGTTTTTGTGTGTGTTTCTTGGATTTGGACCTGAAGTTCTTTGCTTAAAAGACTTCTAGAGAATGTACTGGCAAACAGGAACTGTGAACTGAAATTGTGCTCACCAAAAAAACACATCATAAGTGTAGTTTATTTATATTTGAACTACTACCATTAGACTTCTGAATGGGTTCTATATTAACAGAGATTCCACTTTATACCATTGTGTTCATTGGTTATATGAAATGCATGTAAAGCACTTGTATTGATAAAAGATGTGTATATACATAAATGTACATGTACATGTATGCTCTCTCAAGTTCCAGATCAGGGCTTTGTTTATTTTACTGCACTCTCATTTTACTAATAAACAGGAGAATTTGATTTGTATAGATTATAGTGGCTGTGTTTGTTGGGGAATGTGTGAAAGTCTGCTTGCTGTTGTGTGATCTGAGTCACTTCACACATAATGCTGAGTAATCCAAAAGTCTATAGATTGCACATCTTTGGTTAGCTGATGTTCTGAGAAAGAGGAAATTGCCAGTCGCTTAACACAGGCCATGTGGTAACTCAGAGACAGTCTGTCATGGTCTGCAGTGCATTGTTTTATGTGCAACCGACTGGACTTGCTCCACTCCCTGATTAAATTATACCATAACAATTATACATATCTTGACTGAGGTTGTTCAGTTGTTGGAGGGAAATGTGGGTCGAGAGTCACTGTTCCTCTGACTCAGTACTGTCGACCTTGATTGTTTGTTTGTTTTAAATGGTAAAAAATTTCTCATCTGACTGGTCTTTGACGGAGCTGCTGCCTCTTAATTTCCATCTACAGGTAGAGGAATTTAGGAATATAAAACTGTGTTATGATGACCTCTTCACACTTAGCTTAAGTTGCTTCTTGTTTGAATTTTCCACTTTAAATGCTGCAGCAGTTACTTTCTGGCGCCTCGCAGCGGGAACATTCGAACAAGAATCTGGCAAACAGGAAACAACTTCAGCCTCGTCCTTTTCACTGACATTAGCTTACTGTAAACAACAATATACAGTGAATACTGGTGTCATTGTTTTCAAATACTGAAGAGAAATCAAACAACGAAGAATATAAAGAGCTGCCGATAATGTTATTTTCCTCGTTTGTTAAAATAAAAAAAAAAAAAACAGATATCCAGCTATGCTAACCATAAATTGCCACAAATCATATTGGAGGTGGATATATTAAGTCTGTTTAACACTGTTTCACTCTGTACATTGTAGATTTTGAATTAGGTCTAATGTTTATTTTAGTGAGCTTTTAGCCAAAATCCTGTGTTCAGCTCGGTTATCGATTACTTTGTCATGCATAAAGAGACTCTCCCCCAGGTCTGATACGATTGGCTGAACATTACGTTAGTCAATCTCTGGTAGTACAGCAAAGGCTGCATTAGAGCAGCAGCAGCAGCGCCTCCCCCCAGGTTGCACGCTGCTATTACAGTAGGCTATATTGTGAACGAGAATAAACCATAGACGACTTGGAATAGTAATGTACATTTAGGAAGGGGGCGGGGTGGCTAAATAACATTTGGAGGGGGGCTAAAGCAAAGCCCATGAGTAAAATGAAGGAGAAATATTCAAGATTCTGCCCTATTTGTAGGTCACTACTCAAATTTAAGCAACATCGTGACATTGACCATGTTTAGACCTTTGTAAAAAAAGTCAGACTTATTTGTGGAGTCCAGCTCAAGTGTTATGTTGATATGCTGACACTCAACTTGTTATGTTGAGAAAATAATTTGTAATGAAAACCCATGTATTAAATTAAGTAAATTAAATTATGCAACATAGAAGCATTTTCACTAGTGGACTCTTTTGGACCCCACTGTAGCCTACATTTGGATTGAATTGAAAGATTAATAGCCCCATGTAAACAAAAGATTACATTTAAAAATTACTGTTTAATTCAGTGTTTGAGATGTAAACAAAGTCATTCAGAGTGGTTTGAAGTCAAATGCTTCATTCTAGAGAAACTTACCTACTCTTTCTTTTCTTTACAGTGGTGGTGACAGGAACCATCATGTCTACAACACAAATACAGCCATTTTAATTGCTATCCAAAACCACCATTTATAGGTCCATTGTCTTCTGAGTTTTTATATGTAATGTTGATGATGATGATAAATCTGGAAAAATACCGTTTCTTGTGGGACTGTTTTGCCTTATAACACCCTGCATGTACCTCTCTGTCATGAATAGCTCTAAAAAACACATTTCAGGCCAAAACCTGAAAGTGTTCATAACCATTTTATGTAAGTTCTTTCTGTGAGGGAGCTTTTAGAGGCATTAAATGCTTCGGACATCTGGTTCCTATCACCCCCACTGTGAACAGTGGTGACTCAGTAAGTTACTCTAGAGTTCAGTATTTCACACCAAACCACTCTGAGTGACTTTGTTTGCATCTTAACCATTAAAATATGCAGAAATTTTAAATAAAATTGTGGAATTCCCCTTTAACGTGATACACTGAGGAACAAACACTCACTTTTTAGCCATGGTTTGTTGGACTTGAAACACCTTTTAAACATCATTCTTCAGATTTGTGCTCAGACAAGCTCAGAGAACATATTCATTTTTGTCATTTTTCGGTTTTTTACATAATTTAAAATGCCTGTTGTCCTTTACATTGTGTGTAAATTTCATGAAGGATGGACCAAAAGAAACGGCCCAAAATTACTTCGAAAAGTCGGGTTCCATTGACTTACATTAAAAGTAAAGTAGTTTTTTTTTTCCTTTTCCTGTAAAGTTACCATTTTGGAGATATGAGGTTTTCTTCCGACAACAGCGATATGTGACTTTTAGGTGTGCAAATTGATGGGTTAAGCTTCGGTTCTCATATTTATTATTATAGGGGAATCTAAAAATGACGCCCCTTTTACAAACCTAGCCTGAGAAGAGAAGACTCCGTCCCCTACAGCGGAAATGAACGCAGATGCCTTGTGCATTAAGTTTTGGCGCGAGTCTTCGTAGCTCGTGGACTACAGCTCACATTCTCTGCTTTATTTTGTGTCGCTGTATTGCAGCATGTCCGAGTCCGTCACAGAAGCTTGTCAGGACTATCTGAATTGTTCGGTTTGTCTGAACATATTAATGGATCCTGTGACTATACCCTGTGGCCACAGTTACTGTATGGAGTGTATTAAAGAGTGCTGGGATGAAGAAGAGCTCCAGAAGAAGGCGTACAGCTGCCCGCAGTGCAGAGGCCGCTTCCCCACGAGGCCTGTCCTTAACCGAAGCACTGTCCTCACTGACGTGCTGAGGGGTTTGAAAAGCCCTGCTGACATGCAGGTGAAGTTAAACGGTGGAGAGTGTAACTTCTGCAGTGGAGAGAAACGCAGAGCCGTAAAATCATGTCTCACCTGCGTGGCGTCTTTCTGTGAAACTCACCTGAAAACTCATCTCGAGTTTCCGGTCCTTCAGAGACACACGCTGGTTGAACCCTGTTCGCGGTTACAGGAGATGCTCTGCCCTCTTCATAACAAACTCCTCGACGTTTATTGTGTCCGGGACAAGCGCTGTATCTGCCTTCTGTGTGCTATGGATGAGCACAGTGACCACAAAACGGTCTCTGCTGCTAAAGAGTGGTCCGAGCAACGACAGGTGAGAGTGGCTGAAAAGATAATGCAGAACCGTGTGAGCAGAATAGCTGTCGTTAAAGGAGTATTTCACCGACCCAGCCGAGTGTCTTAATAGTTCATTTGTTTAGATGTAAACAGCCGTACATAGTGATCTAATGAGAAGTGTTATGTACCCTGTTAGAAAAAACAGGGTGAGTTGTGTTTTGGATGTCGATATGCTGGGTATGCTGGTCAGCAGCAACGGAAATTAATATGCTGGTCACCAGTCTATGTTGTTTTGGGTGCTGGTATGCTGTTCAACCAGAATGACCATGACCCTGGTGGATGACCAGCTAAACCGACACTAGAACAGTAAAAAAAACAGCCCAGATCAACATACACTGATCAGGCATAACATTATGACCACCTCCTTGGTCATAATGTTTGGGTGGTGCATCATTCTCAGCACTGCAGTAACACTGATGTGGTGGTGGTGTGTTAGTGTGTGTTGTGCTGGTACGAGTGGATCAGACACAGCAGTGCTGCTGGAGTTTTTAAACACTGTCTACTCGCTGTCCACTCTATTAGACGCTCCTACCTTGTCAGTCCACTTTGTAGATATAAAGTCAGAGATGATCTGCTGCTGCACAGTTTGTGTTGGTCATCCTCTAGTCCTTCATCAGGATGCTGTTGGCTGGATATTTTTGGTTGGTGGACTATTCCCAGTCTAGCAGTGACACTGTGGTGTTTAAAAGCTCCAACAAGAGTCCAAACCTGGCAAACATGAGCTTTAACTGGAGTTAAAATCTAGTTTTATAGGTAAAATAAAAAATCTTATGCACTTCTAACCCAGAACTGCAAGCAAGTATGTGTGTGTGAGAGAGAGAGAGAGAGTGTGAAACTTGTTCACTCGTTCTGCATTTGCTTTACCAGAAACCACTGCAGAACTTGCAAGAGAGATTTCCTAGACTACTACAACGTAGAGAGAAAGAGTTGCAGGCACTTAATAAGGCTGTCAAGACTTATTCTGTAAGTTTTATATATATTTTTGTTCATTATTTTCACAAGCATAAACATATGTTATTTAAGTTTAAAAATGCTATTTTTTTATAATCCCAACTTCATAAAATAATAAATTTGTTTAATGTTTTTTTTATAAAACGTTTTGTTTTGTGTTGTGCCTGTTGATGCAGACTTCAGCACAGGCAGCTGTAGAGCTCAATGAGAGTTTCTTGGCCGAGATCACTCAGTCCATGGAGAAGAAACTGTCTCAGACGTCTAACCTGATCCAAGTCTATGAGAAGAAAGAGTTGTGCCAAGCAGAAGGCCTGCAAAAGAAACTGGAGCAGACAGTTGCACGTCTTAAGCTGAGTGATGCTGAGTGCGATCAACTTGGACACACAGATCAGCACATACTGTGTCTCCAGGTAGAGTGACAGGGTCTTTTAACCATTCTGAGTGAATAGCCCATCTGGAAAGCTTGTGTAATTTTTTAATATAGTTTCATCTCTTGATTCTCTTGGCATGTTTGGTTTGTGTTTCGACAGGAATTCCTTTCTCTCTCTGCATTTTCTGAGACGGAGAGCCTGCAAAGCAACCCAGTGAAAGAAAACCCCTCGTTTTTGAATGCCGCTGGTCTTTTATCAGGACTGAAGGAACAGCTGGAGAAACTCTTTGATAAAAAAATGAATGAGATGACAAGTGCTGGTAAGACAATTTACATAGTACAGCAATAGATCCATGGGATTAGAGTAATTCAAAATGACCTGTAGTTAAATCTCCCTTTGCAGCTATAAAACTCAAAATTGTCCTACCAGCCAACCCCAAGACCCGGCAGGAGTTCCAAGAACGTAAGTCATGAATGTTTTCATGTTGAAACACCATCAAACAAGTGCTCTTCAGACATACGCCCAGTATGATTGAGTAACGAAAAGTAACTGAACGTATCTGTGTCTGGAGTTTTCTTATTGTGTAGGGCCATAATCCAAAGCAGTTTGGTGCTTTCCCCTGTTAAACACTTGATTCAACTCATTAATTCATGGCCAGGTTCAGTAGGTGTGCTAGAACAGGGACATCACCAAACTCCGCTGGACACTGGCTTTCCAGGACCAGAGATGAGAACCCTAATCTAAAAAGCTTTTTATGGTTTCCTCTTTGGTAAACATGATTGTGACACTGTATTGCACACTGTTATCTATAAAACATGGACAAAAATACATTACATAGCTAAAAATAGTAGTAATTGCTAAGGACGCACTAAAATTTCAGCCATCGATAATTTTTCTGGAACTAATCGGAAGTCAGAAATGACAGGAAATTCTAAAGATTTTGGCAGAGATTTAACAAGTCTACAATGGAGTGTCACACTTGTCAGATAATCTCTGTGATAATGAAAATATGAAATAGTGACTGAAAATGTTCCTTTTGCTGTTCTGCACTGATCAGCACAGATGTGCATCAAACAGTTTGAGCATCAGAAAATCAACAGTGAAACACTGATTTAACTGATTTACTGAAAATCTTTTAATAGATATCACATATTAAATAATATGATATTGCCTAACTCAACATCACCTATTAATAAACAACTTCAATTTGAAATCTTTTGTTTTGAAATGTTGTTACTACAAACACGTCCAAGATCATGCTAGGGTTTATGGCTGTTTCCTCTCTTTAAGTAACGCACACGAATGTGAGCAGGCTAATAACTCCCCCTGCTGGAGAAACATGTGAACAGTGACTCCTAAAGACACATTCAGATGCACTTTCAATAAGGCATTTTCTGATATTAATGCGAAGAGGCTCTGGATTTCAGCTATAGATGCTGATGCTTGTGTGAAACCATGAAGTATTACGAAGCATTATATTTTCAAGTTTACAACTTCTCCCAACCATCTGGACGCTTAAACTGTTGAGAAAATGCTCGAATTTTCCTCAGAGGATATGTTTCCCCAGCAGAGGCAGTGGAAAATTTACTTTACTAGTTTTATGGCTTAATAATGCCCTTTAATTGCTCAACAGCAACACTTGAGTTTTTCCTCCCATACCTGAGGCCATTTGCATTCAGTGTTTGTTGCATCTCGTCATTGTAAAAGCTGTTTGCATGCCCAGCTGCAGTTCACCTGAAAACAGAAGGCATAGGTTATCTTTAAGCAAGCTCTGATAGGGTGCATGCCATGTCTGAAAGTTATCTGCTATCTGAACAAGGTGATTCATTAAATGTGTTGCATGTCTTGCAGTATCTAATCTGACTGCTCCAACCAGGCTGTTTACAATAAATAAACTCCTGCATTAGTCATCACGGTCATCACCATGCGTGTTAAAATGTTTTGTAGCGAGAAAGTGAACAACGACAAGGCAGAGTAAAAATAAACCAAACTGCTGCTTGATTTAAAGTAGCTTGGACCACTAAAGGCCACTGAAGGCTACTCAGTTAGTTAGTTTAGTGGTGTCAATCCATTGGATCCATTTTTTGCCCATATTTTGAACGGTAGAGGGAGGCACCTTCAGGGCACCTTCTGCTGAAGGGTTCAGTGATCAGATAAACACCAATGTCAGGCCAGAGTAAAATGAATAAGGCATGCAAAGTTCATGAGTTTCCAGGCGACAACCATCATTTGAATAGAAAAAACGATCAACACAAGTGATTGGTTCTTGTATTGAACTAATTTACATATTAGTCACCATACAGCAAGCAGGTTTCAATCTAACAAGATTTGATTGCCAAATATAAATGTGTGTGGTTAAATCTAATCAGTTTGCAATCCAGATACAAGTCACTTGTTACTACTAGATGTAGTCAGGGCATTACAGGGCTGTGCAAGAGTACTTGAGTACTTGGTTTACCTGGTTGAGGTGCCAGTATTCAAAGACTGAAATCACTTTTTGGGTACTTGTTCTAATTGTCCATCAAAAAGACAGAGAAAATATAGAGACTAACAATTCAATGAAACGCCACTGTTATGATTTAAACTGCCTGTTTTGTTCATATTTGTGAGGCAAGTATGCATATTAAAAAGCAGATGTACACTCTTGGGCAAAAAAATTGGCCAAGCCCAAAATGGCAAAAGATTAATGGTCTTAACAACAGATCATTAAGCAAATGTATAAAGAAATTTAATGTGGGAGAGCTTGTCCCTTTGATTTATATAAATGTTGAGGTTTTTGGTGTAAATTTGCAGACGGTCTTTTACAGAAAGAAGAGTCAGTATTTTTTCATTTACCACTGATGACTTCAAACAAGGCGGCACGGTGGCGCAGTGGGTTCGATTCCCGGCTGGGTGACCAGGGTCATTTCTGTGTGGAGTTTGCATGTTCTCCCCGTGTCTGCGTGGGTTTCCTCCGGGTACTCCGGTTTCCTCCCACAGTCCAAAGACATGCAGTCAGGCTGATTGGACGTGCTGAATTGCCCCTAGGTGTGAGTGAGTGTGTGAATGTGTGTGTATGTCTGTCTGTCTGTCTGCCCTGCAATGGACTGGCGACCTGTCCAGGGTGTATCCTGCCTTCCGCCCAATGACAGCTGGGATAGGCTCCAGCACCCCACCGTGACCCAGAAGGATAAGCGGTTTAGATGATGGATGGATGGATGGACTTCAAACAATTGAAAAACATTGCTGAGCAAGTTTGTGCTTAATGTGAGACAAAATGTTCTCTATAGGGTTTGAAATAAGGCTCTGAACCGGCCAAAACCATCTGTAAAAACCATTATATTCTGGGCTTGGCCCATTTTTTTTTTTGCCCAGGAGTGTAGAACGACTTGATCGCTGAATAGGCTAACTGGTCTAGCTGATGTTAAGATTTCCCTCTGCTTTTTTCGCTCTGTTTTCGAATGTATTTCTCTGCTTTCTGCAGAATTTTTGTGTCTCTGAATTTTTTTTAACACCACTATTTACACCAGAGCTATCATTTAAAAGAGTGAGCTTATTCGCTTAACCCTTGCAAATACTCAAATATCAAAATGACTCTAAATGCACATCCCTATTGCTGTATCCTTTAGAATTGGTGTTAATGGTAAATAATGATGTCTATCTTGTCAGATTTTTGCCAGCTGAAGCTGTCCCCTGAGTCAAGTCATGCATCGCTAAAGCTGTCTGAAGAGAACCGAAAGGTTGAGCATTCATCATCGTCCTCATATTCCAGGGTTCAGCCCAATGCAGAGAGATTCACTTCTTTGTACCAGGTTCTGTGTGATAGTCCTGTAAAAGGCTGCTGTTATTGGGAGGTCATGAGGAGCGGCACTGTTCATATTGCCCTGTCGTATGGCAGTATACCCAGGAATAGCGGTTATAGTGACAGCAAGTTTGGATATAACAATCAGTCATGGAGTTTGGAATGCTATGACAACAAATGCACATTTTGGCATAACGGTAATGCCACTGAACTTTCAGCATGGTACCTGAGTAAAATAGGGGTTTATCTGGATGAAGGTGCAGGTATGCTGGCTTTCTACCAGATCTCTAGCAATTCTGAGATGACGCTGCTGCATAAAGCACAAGTAGAATTGACAAAGCCTGTTTATCCTGGCTTCAGACTCGAACGCGGTTCATCTGTGACTTTGTGCTAGTTCCTTTTTGCTCTGAATACTGTGTAAAGCATAGGATATACTCTATGCATCTGGCATTTGGGGGATCTCTTGCACTTGTAATTTAGGTGGGTGATATGGCAAAAGTGTAAGGACAATACTGCAAGACTTTTGTACAATACAAGGTTTCACATTTTAAAAAATACTCTCAAAAACTGAATAGTGATTTGTACAGTGCTGCACAAAATCTGTTTAAACAGCACTTATGTTCTCTTTGTAATCCAATGTGCAGTTGGGAAGTGTTACATAAGTATATTGTGACAATCACAATAATGATATTGTTATATTGATGAGCCTCTTTTGTAACATTTTTTTCTTCATTCATGTTCAGAACTTAACAACCTGTGTATAATCCGACAGAGAAAATAAAGCACATGCAACACCTACTTGAGACTGTCTTAGTGGTGTAACCATTTCAAGTTCATTTTAGGTGTATTCGACTCATTGGACTCTACTCATTTTAACTCTAAAGCACAGTATAGCAGTTGAAGATTTTGCCCAACTTCACAAAAGTTCAAGCAAATTAAATTATTAAATGTGAATACTGAGGCCGCACAGTAAATCTAGAGTATGACAAATGTACAGTACCTTTTCATTATTTTCTATTGTAGTTATGCTGAGTTATAGTAAAAACTGAGGCTGAAGCTATATTAAATCTTTAATCTTGTGTTATAACTAAACTCTAATTCAGTATCTATGGCTGTTCCCAGAGCACATGGACTTTCACTCCAAGGCCTGTCCTTGCAGGAACAACGTGCTGGCTGAAGAAGATGGAGCTCCCAGTGTAGTAGTAGTTAATGTAGTAGACTGGTGACCTGTGCTTCCACATTATGACAGCTGGGATAGGCTCCAGCTCCTTCTGCGACCCAGAAGGATAAGCGTTTTAGGAAATGTGTGTGTGTTAATGTAGTATGGAAATTGTGCTTTATTTTATTTAAAAGTACATTTGTTATATCATAACTTATCAGTAAAAAAAATGTAATCCAACTGCACAAAAGCAAACGTTCACCTTAACCCCCATATTACTTTAAAACAAATATTGAGATACTAATCTAAATGCCAATCTCCAAAAGGCTAAAAAAAAAGTCATCATCCAACACACCTGACTTAAAATTTCATTAACATATCATATGCGAAAGTTTCAATACTCTACGTCAAAATAACATGTTTGTTGATTTACCTTACGTCACCCTCCAGACGTTTTTCAAATTCAAATGCTAAGTTGAAAACGCTAGTTTAACTGTATCCCTGCATTTCTGTGTATAAAGACTGGAAAAGGTTCATATGGAAAAGCCACAAGTTCCCCTAGTTGGTCAAGACCCACTTCCAAACTACATAACAGGGAATCATTTTTGACAGAATTATTCTAGGCCTGATTGGCGAGTAATAAATGTCCACTACTGCCAAAGTTTAGACTTTTTCGTCACTTCCTCTTAAAACACGCCCCGCACTTAAAAGTCCCACCCACTTTGATTGCCTTTGATTGATTTTAACACTATGGCATATTTTGTTTCCCTAATGCTGATATAAGAAATATTATTTTTAACGAAATACGATTATTTCGTTCCTGGTCTTAAAGGTAAAACCTAGCACCACGATGAGAAATGTACATTTATTTGGTATTATTATTCAGTCAAAATTAATTTATCCCAAAGAAAAGTTACATTACATACAAAAACTCAGAAGATACGTGTGCGTTCACTGGTGGTTTTGGATAAATAAAATGACTATATTTGTGTTATGGACATCAGGACTCTTGGCTCATTATTGCCACCATTGTACAGAAATCTGAGGCTGCAAGTTTCTCAATGACTGCATTATTCGGACATTTTGAAAAATTGGTGGAATTTCCCTGTAAGCCTCATGATTTGTAATAATTTTTGCTGGCTGTAAGTTACTCAAATTGGCGTCCAGACTTACTAAAGTGGGCTTTCTGATAGCTAACACAAATACCTTAATGTATCGTTGGTCTATTTTGTCAAGCCTCCTCACCGAGTGATCTGTATCAACTCACGAGTCTGCTGTCACACTACGCAACCAGCGTTGAGTTCTCCCATTGGTCAGTCCGCAACAACACAGCGCACCAATCACAACTCTTACATACGTGGAGTTTCCGTTCCAAGCCACCGGTCCACTCTACCAGGTTTCAATGCTCCGCAGCGTCCTGTCCAACTTTGGCAAGTGAACTTTTGTCTGTTTAATATCACTGTGACAAAAGGAGAACTTCAGATACTGTGTGTTGAAATCATAGACATTCCTCCAGTTAGTTGTGCGCAGAAATGCTTACTTACCACATTTTGTTTTGCCTGCTGTAGCCAAGTTAGCTAGTTGCTAATAACAATAATAAAGCTTTCCATTACCATCCATTCAAAATATCAGCCAGCTCGTTAACCTAGTTAGATAACGTTACATTACATTTGTATATAAGATACTAGTAAATGGTATAAGTAATGCTCGACCGCTCGTCCCAGGTTCTACATTAGTTAGCAAATGTCACTTCTGTTTTGCTCACTGTTGCAAAGAGCAGGAGTGACAAAGTAATGACAGTAATATAGCTCACCGTTTGTAATAAGTTGGAGTAACGTTATTAGCTAGGTTAGCTAGCTCGCAGGCTGCATTATAGTTAACCTACACCTATTAGTAAAGACTGCGTCGTTCAGTTATCGTAGGTAGCTACTATAGCCAGGTTCTATTAGCTGCTGATTTCAGTGCTATACTGTGAGTTAAAGGGGGACTCCACCGGTTTTTCACAATGTCTGCATAATAAAACGGTTTAGATATAAACACAGTCATTCAGTGTGGTTTGGTGTAAAATGCTTATTTAATCGATTCATGGTGGAAGGATACATGAGGGATGTTCTAAGGCAAAACAGTCCCCGAAGAAAACTTACATTACATACAAAAACTCAGAACATATGTGTGGGTTCACTGATGGTTTTGGATAATAAATAAAATGACTATTTGTGTATGAACATCAGGATTCTTGGCTTTTTATTGCCACCATTGTACAGAAATCTGAGTGTCAAGTTTCTCTGCAAATGAACTATTTCACATCAAAGCACTTTGTCTCAATGGGTGAATTATGCAGACATTTTGAAAAATTGGTAGAATTTCCCTGTAAGCCTCATGGTTTTTAATAATTTTTTGTGAGTTACTCAAACTGGTGTCCAGACTTATTAAAGTGGGCTTTCTGATAGCTAACACAAATACCTTTATTGATGCAGAAGTGTTCTCTATGTCTCTTAAAGTAGAGAGCTTATATATTTAGTTAATGTAAATTCACTTAAATGTAATTTAACTGAGGACTGACAGAGGCTGGAAAACAGTACCTTTTCTATGTGCTAGTGTTCCTTCAAAAGAAAGTAATCTAGTTTGAAGCAGAGCTAACCTGTGTTTTTGTCCAGTTTCTTTGTTGAGCGGTGAACAGTTTCCATCAGATTTATGCTAAAACCTTGGATGTGTGTCACAGACAACAGCAATGACCAAAAAAAAGGCTAAAGCAAAGAAGCATAAGAAAGAACGAAAAAGATCGCCCACACCCCCCTGTGAGGATAGAGGGAAGGTAAGGAAAGTCTTAAAGCAAAGTTTGGTTGAAATTTTAAGTTCTTTATCTGCCTGTCTTCTGTGTTCTAATTAAGATCTTCATTTAATCACTTTTTTATTACTTAAGCGAAAAGATGACAGAGAGACTCCTGGCAGGTCAAAGGAGAGAAACGAACATGAGCATGCGTCTAGGTGAGTCTCAGTACAGCTGCCCGAGTGGCTGTCTTTTCCTGTTTTATTTGAGGTTTTAATGGTATTTCTTTTATCTGTTGTGCAGGAGAAAAAGCTCTGGCGGTCCACAGTCAGCTACGGAAGACAGTCCAAAGAAGGAGACGTACAAAAAATCAGATGTAAAAATCAAGCAGGCGGTGTTCAGAAACAAAATATCTCAGGACAGCGATCACAGAGCATCACATAGCTCAGTGAAACGTTCCTCTTTGGAACATTATGTCCCCAGCACAGGGAAAAGCTCAAACAGCCAGACTCCATCCAGGTCTTCTTCTATTGTCTCATCCCAAGAGCTGGAGGAGCAAAGGAAGAAGCTAGTTAAGAGGAGGTCTACATCAGAGGACCCCAGACAGAGATCACCCAAGGCTGCATTTCTTCCTGAGGAGCAGAGCAAGAAGCTAGAGAAGAGGAGGTCCTTGCCAGAGGAGGATTACCCTGCGGCCAAGAGGCGGAACACTGAAGAGCGGGTTGATGTTGGTGTGGTGCACCGAAAGTCTAAGGAGTTGAGTGAGCAAAGAAAGAAGCTGGTGGACCGCGGGCCCAGGGAGTTACGCAAAGAGGTTGTTTCAGAAGGGAAATGTAGCTGTCCTATTAAAAGAGAAAGCAAGCACTCGAAGGAGATTTCATCCTCCATCAAAAATACAAAAGCTACCCAACATGTCGGTCCTAAAATGCAGGACAGCGACAGACAAAAAGGGCGGTCTCACTCTGCACGTCATCAAACCTCAGGAGAAGAGCTGTCATCATGTCCTCGTCTTCCAGTTACTTTCAAGATCCCTAAGAAGTCTAATGTTGTAAAAGCACAGATGGATGCACATGTTTGGGACAATCATAAAATGTCTGCAGTCATCAAAAAGCATTCCATCCCTGTTTCTGTGAGCTCTCCACCTGCACAGCCAAATAAACTGAGGCCTACAGACATTTCTGCTCGAGTTCCTCCCTGTTTAAAGTCACATAAAACATCATCTTTACCTCAAGTCCAGCTTGGGCAGTCTAGTCCATTGAGAGAGAGAAGCTCACCAAGGAACACTGCTACACAACATGTAAGGCTGTATATTTTTTGCTGATTTTCTCCTTAACAATTATGCTCTGATGCTTCAGGTAGGGGTGGCCGACACACAAAACATACCACAATATTTTGACACAGACCGTAGCACCACTAGTGTCACATTAATAAGAACCGGCATCGAAAATTCTGGGTACAAAGATTTTAATTCAGTGTTTCACATACTCCACTGCAATAAAGTGCATTGAATACACTTAGTTCTGCTCTCTCTGTAATTAAACAACCAGTCAGTCAGTGTTTTTTTCTGACGATATCCATAATACGCTCTTTAAAGCCTCTTGTTTGTCACGATAACAAAATTCATCATGATAATCATGAAATATTTTAATATTGCCCTACTCTAGCCCCAGTTTTGGGAGATTTTAAATCACTCTTTTGTAAGCTATGATCATGCCTATGTAATTACAATGATGTCCAGGGATGTAGAGATGGAAAAAAAATCCCAAAAGCTCGCTTTGAAAGCCTTTCCAAGCCTTATTAGGTCTTTTCTTATTTTTACTTTAACAAGTTAGACAAAACACTGGATTCACAACATTTTTCCCCTTTTAGGCTCTTTGTCAAGGTACTTCTACTGAGCACACAGAAACATTTGACAATGACCAAGAGGTGAGTGTCATGGGGTAATCTGACATTTTGATGAAGACTTTGTGTCTATGGGTGTCCTAACTTTGTGTTGCATTTGTAGATGCAGCTGGTTGAGGAATTGCACTTGGCCCGCTCTGACAAGAGACTGCAGGTGAATGTGGTGGAGAGCTATGGAGAGCTTACCTGCATGGATGTCGACCCGCCAGAAGAGGGCATCACTGTGACACATAGTAATATCTTCCAGACTTATGCAGAATACATTACCAACTGTACTTACATTAAAAAGGAATTCCACAGATTTTTCTGTTTTTTTTTGTATAATTTCATCTTTAAGACGTAACCATCCGTCAGAGTCATTTGATGTGAAATGCTCCACTCCAGAGAAACCTCAGAAAGTCAGAATAGTTCACAGTGGTGATAGTTTTGTGAACCTTTGGCTTAAAACTTAAAAAAAGAAGTTCATCACAGAGGTACATGCAGGGCATTGTAAGTTTTTTTAACCACTGTTTTACCTTTTATCAGCATTGCATATGAAGGAGCAGAAATTGTGCATAGGTTCACTGGTCATTTAATATATTAAATAAAATGGCTATATTTGCGTTGTAGACTTTGTGACCCCTGGTTCCTTTTACCACCACTGTATAGAAATCTGAGTTGGTTAGTTTCTCTACAATGAACCATTTCACAACAAATAGCTCGGAATGACTTTGTTTACGTCTTAACCATTGAATTATGTAGGCATTTTGAAAAACAGTCGAATTCCTCTCTAAAAGCAAATGAAAATGTCAGTGTTTTTCTCTGTGTCTTTCATGTGTGTGCATTTGGCATCTTTAGGTCAGGGGCAGCACCTGCAGGACCTCTTAATTGTGCTGGACACCAATGTTCTCCTCAGCCATCTGGACTTTGTGAAGAAGATGAGGTCTCATGGGCTTGGAGGTAAGATGGAAGGGGTTGCTTTCTGAGTATACTTACAATATCCATATAATGGATAGCAACAGAATAGGTTTATTGAAAGGTTTGTAAGGGTCTTGCTGGGTGTCCTTAGTGTCACTGTTCTGTTTTGTGAACTGAGACTTCTAGTGCTTCATTTCTCTTTGATCCTGAAGTGCGGAGCATAAACACGCAGACATATTATTTCTGCCTGAAGTGCTTTTTGTGAAAGTTTTATTCTTGCCTGGACTTTCCCTTTTAAGTCACTCTTTGTGTTTGTGTCCTTTGCGGGCCGCAGCCTTGGGCTTCCCTACACTGCTGGTCCCCTGGGTGGTTCTTCAGGAACTGGACTCACTGAAGAGTGGAAAATTGTCCAGGGAAGTGGAGCACAAAGCCCGGCCGGCTGTCCATTACATCTATAGCTGCTTGAAGAGCCAAGAGCCACGTCTCTGGGGACAGTCCATGCAGCAGGCCTCCCAGGCTTCCTGTGGGTTGTTTAAACTTAATAATATTCACATTTTGAGAGTAATGCTATATTTGGAGAGCATATCATTGGAAGAAAACCAGTAACACTTTTAATGGTCCGCTGCAGACGCTTTGTTAGATGCTCACCTTGTCTTTGAAAGCCTTGTTTTATGTCTGTTAAACTTGGCTTTGCCCTAACTTAAATCTAACACTTGCGCTAAACCTTACCTAATTCCACTTTTTTCAAAATTTCTCCATGTTTAAATTGTTAGGAAGTCATTCAGAATGGTTTGATGTGAAATGCACCATTCCTGCGGAGTGTCAGTTGTTCGCAGTGATGGTGATGGGAACCAGACTTCTGAAGAATTTAAAGCCTCTAAAATAGGGTACCCAATCCTGTTCCTGGAGATCTACCACCTTGGAAAGTTTAGATCCAAGACTTTTGGCTCTAATGTTAAGACTCTCATTAAATGGATCAAATAGTAAAATAGTACCCAAAAAATGTTTTTTTTTCCAGATTTACCTCTCTTTTACCATTATCAGCATTCCTTATAAAACTCAGAAGACATATGCAGGTTCACTGGGCATTTTAGATTGTAAATAAAATGGCATTGCAGCCACTGGTTCCTGTCACCGACTCTGTAAAGAAAATCTTGGGAAGTTTCTCGTAAGACCACCTAGAATGACTTTGTGTACATTTAAACAACTGAATAATGCAAAAAATGAAAGAACCTTTTATGTCCTTGTGAATGTATGTGCTTCACCAGCACCAGAGGGTGCTGTGTATTAATATAAGGTGTATATCCTTTCAGGTGGGCTGGGCGTCGTGAACAATGACGATCGAGTGCTGCAGTGCTGTCTGCAGTACCAGATGTTATATCCAGAGGGCACTCTCATCCTGTGCACGTGAGCACATACTCTATTCACTCAGTTTGACCTCTACTGTCTGATTGTCACCAAGTGAAAACACATTGTAGTGGTTCAAACACATTGCAGAGTATACGCATTTCCTTTAGCTTGTGTTTTTTTTTCATGATTCAGATTGTTTTTACAATCAGATGCAGAAGAAAACTTGTTTGTTTTATTGATCTCCCACTTTTGCTTTCTCTTTCTCACACTCGTCCTCTGTACCTTTGTAATTCTCTCCTCCTTTAATTCTTGCTTTGACTATAGTAATGATAAGAACCTGTGCAGCAAAGCTCTGCTGAGTGGAGTTAATGCCCTGAGTAAAGCAGATCTTGTGGAGCAGGCAGAAGGAAACCCTGGGCTGTTCAACTGCAGCCAAGGCCAGCATGCTGCCCGTCCACCTTCAGGACACACCAAGGAAGGTCAGGCACCTAGCATGCCTCACATGCATTTCTGAAGGCAGAACTGTCTTATCGTGATATTTCTGGTTACGTATTGATACAGAATCTCAGACTAAGGTTTAGCTTACAACTAACAGAATTGGTGCACAGAGATGCTGACCTGTTATTGATGCAAACACTCAAGCTTTATGAAGAATCAAAATCTGTGTGGCTAAACGTCACTCACTCAGTCGCTCACTCAGTCACTCACTCGCTCAAAGTATGTGTGAGTCTTTATTTTTGTTTCTATTTGGAGGCAGCTTGTTACAGTATTGCACAACAACATCTGTTTCTCTGAATTTATATTTTACAATGTCCCTTTTCCTCTACTCCCAAACAGAGCACAGTATTTTTTTCTATTCTTTTGGGGTACAAAAAGTTCTCAGGCAAGACAACATCTAAAAATTCAAGGCAGCTTTTATTGCAAAACTGCATATTCCTCCCCGTCTGTATTCAGTTGAACGTACCCCGCATAAAAAAGCTATGATGAGCTGCCAGTTTTTTCCATAATAAGTGGGTTACCTAATCTTTAGTCTTTTTTGCTAAAAGCAAGGCAAAAAAATACATCTGAATTGTGTTTAGTATACATATGTGATGACTTCTTATTCCTTTGAATATGAAGAAAAGGTTCCCTTTTTCATTGCAAAACAGAGCATGAGAGAAAGCTGTGTAATGAAGAGGAGGAGGTGAGCAGGAGAACGGCATCTTGTGCAGAGTGGCAGCTGAGTGAGTGTGTGCCTGTGCTGGAGAGCAACCTGCAGAGTGCTCTCTCTGCAGTTCTGGAAGAAGAGATGAAGGCTGCTTATGGAGAGCTGTGGACAGAGGTGACATTGAGATGCACATACACATTGCTTCACTATTACCTTACAGCAGAGTTCTTCAAATCCAGCCCTTGAATCCATTTTTTGGTCCTGGATTTTGCAGTCACTGATAGGGTTGATGACCGCTTACATGATAAGGTCAGCTAAAGAGTTATTACACTATAAAGCTGATTTATATATATATAATAAATATATTACTTTGTAATAATAAATATCAGTCTTGTTGAAATATTAACACTTTTTCAGACTATCAAAAGAACATTATAATTGTATTCAGTTCTGCCTCTGCAGCGCCGTGTCAACTCCACTGTAGACACAAATGATTGTATGTTGCTGTATGCAAATCAGTCTGCCATGGTGTTGTCGACCCCTGCCTTGCATCGCGCTGAACAAGTTTGAAATATTTGAAGAATTTGAAGACCTCTGTTTCATGTAGCTTGCATTTTACAGTTTTTGTGGACCCTATGCTAAAATTCCCATTCGTTCACATCTTTGAAGTAGATGTATTAAAATATGCACATTAACATTAATTTTCTTGATATGTGTTGAGAATTGAATACAGTCATCATATATCAGATATCATGCTGTACAGTGTGTGACAACTAAATGAACTGGGATGGTTTCTATAGCTGTTTCAATATTTGATTTCTATAGTTCTGTTTAACACAGTCTGCATGATATTCATCAAAATGACAACCATGAATGTGAAGCAATAAAAAAAAACACACGGCTGTGCAGCTCTTGTGACTGCAAAATTGATATGGTGAGCTGACCTTGATTGATAGGGTGAGCTGACCTTGGATGGTTGATTAGCCAAAATGTTTGAAATGGTAAGTGGAGAGAGTAGGTCTGAGCCAGAACAACTAAAATCATCCTAGCATTCAAAATTCTGTTTGACCTGTATTAACTTGAAAAAGTACAAAAACACATTGTAAATATTTAGTGCCCTCCACAAATATTGGCACCCCTGCTAAACATGAGCAAAATGAGCTGTAAAAATATTCTTTATAAATTATCCTTTTAATTTTTTATTCAAAATATTATAATCTAACTTTTAATCTATATTTTATTTTAAAGTATAATGATTGAAAGAAAAAACTAAATAATATCATGAAATAATTTACAAATTTATAAGAGTGAAATCTAACTCAAGTATAGTCCCATTAAACGTTATGAAACATTTAAATGCTCAGTCATGATTTCCTGATTCACTGGGGAATATATATGAGGTGAAACACAGGCCAAATTCCCTCAGGCAATCATCACTATAAGAAAGACCTGATGTAGAATGACCATGATGAACAAAAGGTTGTTGAGCTGCAGAAATCATGAAGTGGCTACAAAATAGCTATTTGCCTATTTTGCCTATTTGCCTATTTCCACTATCCGGGCAATAATTAAGAAGTTTAAAACAACTAGAGATGTTAAGAATCTGCCAGGAAGAGGACGTATGTCTATACCAATCCCACACACAGTGAAGAGCATGGTCTGAGGGGACAAAGAATCTCCAAGGATCACAGATAGGGAATTGCAGAGAATAGCTAGATATTGGGGTTAGAAAATCTCCCAAACCACAATCAAACACCACCTGTATAATCCACAAGTTGTTTGGGGGTTGCTAGAAGAAACCTCTTCTGTCAAGGATAAAGAAACTCCAGTAACTACAGTTTGCCAAACGTTACTGGAACTTTAAGTAGGACTGAGTTCAGTGGGTTTTTAGAAGCAAACACCAGAGGTGTTGTGTGGACACAAAGATAGCCATGCAGAAAAGTACCTCATCCTCAGTGTGAAGTATAGTGGTGGATCTGTGATACCTTGGGGCTGGTTTTCTTTCAAAGGCTCTGGACAGTTTATTCGGATACAGTGTGGACCTTGGAACCTGAAGGATCGGGAGAGGGTCTGTATGGTCTCAGATCCTATGCCATGTGTTCTCCAGTCTCATTAAGCATTATAGAAGACTCAGAGCTGTTATGTTTGCAAAGGGAGTCTGCACAAAGTATTAAATGAAGGGGTGCCAATAATTGTGGAAAAATATTTATTTCTTGATAAGATTTGGGTTTTTTGGTCATTGTACCTCAAATAAATGAGCAGAACCTTTAGGCAACGCTGGACTACTGTGCTAAAATATCAGCATTTTATTAATTTTACTGCATTTGTAACACAAAACGAATAAAAGTTTTACTTCTCCTTAATGTTAACCCCGGTAGATGTGCTCTGAATCTCAGCATTTTTTAAATGTATGATATATGTACAGTTGTATGCCAAAGTTTGGGTGCCCCTGGTCAGTTGACATGTTTTGTAGATTTTCTAAGTGAAAATAAGTTAACACATCCTTACAGGGAACACACTTAAATGTGGCATTGTTCTGCAGGTTCAAATGCACAATTTCTATATGTTTGGTGAGTTTAAAGTATTGGGGGAAAAGATAAAACACAATATAAAATGTGCTATAATTCTCACACAAGCAGTGTTTTATTTTTTAGTTTTTCCCCCCAGTATATACTGTTCAGCAAATGAACAGTAATTGTGCGTTAAAATGTGCAGAAATGTGTGTAAAATCTGGGACAAAACAAGTCATTTGACCAGGGGTGCCCAAACTTGGGGCATATATGACCGTAAATTCATCAGTATCGATAGATGGGTACATGAAGAAGATCAGATATTGACATCAGCCCACAATTTCCATATCAGTGCATCCCTTTTCATCACAAACATAAGCTTAGATACGTTTGTGGGGACCACAGTTTAGAAACACAAGAGCTGTACAAGAAGAATTGCATGGTTGAGTTACTCAGGAAATGAATCATCATCCGGTTCTACTAAGTGGGATTCTTAAGAACTGGATGATGATTGTATTTATCCACTCTCTAGATGACCTCATATCTCCTCAGGCATTATAGTGATATTAGTGTGAAATTTTAGTAATAGTTGCTGTATCTGAAAGTAGTTGACTATTCTGTGATGATCAGTATCCATATTTCTCAATCCTAGTCACAGCACTGAAAAGGTTATGCATTTATGTCCTGGGATGTTGATCTTATGTCACCATTCTTAAAGGAATCCTCCAGCATTTTTCAATCTAATCTCCATCCACAGCAAGTTTCCATAGACAAGAGTTTTTCTGTATTTCTGGAAATAGCAACATGCAGTTGCTTTAACACTGTCACAGGCTTTTACTGTGAGTAGCTGACTTCAGCTTCATATCACCAAAGAATTAGGGGTGGGTAATAATAAATAAATGTCGCACCCCCCCCCCGCCTTATGATGCCCTAAATTCGCTAAAGACCAGTAGCGAGGTTGCTGAACTTTAACGCTTCTCTGGGTGGTGTACAGAGCACCACTAGTAGCCTGTTAATGAAGTAATGCCCTTTTTTGTTTGAGGGTTGTCCCATTTTGCAGGGGAAGATTTTAACCACTACCTATTGTAACTCAGTTCCAAGTGGCAAGGTAACGCTCGAAAACAAGGGGCAGGGGTAAAAGCTATAAATGGGATTGGGCCCTTTATCTAGGTTAGGCCTATCAGCTTCTGAGTTGCTGTGAGTTTCATGGTGTATTGTTACTTGACAGTTGTTCGGGTGCGCCCGGTCAAACAAGACATGCAGAAGTGCTTTTTATGGCCCAGTGGTAGAGGCTGAGCATTTACTATTTGGCCATGGCACTGAGGTGGGAGGGTATTACATGGGAAGTAATTTATTTTTATATGCACTTCCTATAACCTTCCTTTTCACTTTTATTGGTTAAGCACAAAAAAGGATTAATGGGGAGATTCCAAAGAATTCAACATTTCTGCACAATTCAATCTTTGAGATGTAGTAAGTAGTCCAGAGTGGTTTCATATGAAACGGTTCATTGTAGACAAACATACCTTCTCTGATTTCTTTGCAGTGGTGGTGACAGGAACCAGGGGTTGTGACATCTACAGCGCAAACATAGCCAATTTGTTTAATACTCTAAATGACCTTGCATCTGCGTATCTCAGAGAATGTCTTGTCTGTTCATGTTTCAAAACGTGATGTTCGATCTGCAGATACTGGCCTTCTGCAAATAACCTTTGTAAAAATCAGAAAACGTGAGAAGGCCTCATTCAGTTTTTATGCTTTAAAACAGTGGAACTCACTTCCACCTTCTGTTAACAGTCAAGGTTTTACACACTTTTAAGAAACATTTGAAAACATGTCTTTAACATTGAAATAAAATTGTACCTCTTTTGATATTTCCCTTTTTAATTTGATCTGTGCCTTATATGATTTTAATTTAATACTCTTAAGCTTTAGCACCTGTCTGTAGAGTGCTTTGATCTGCCAGTGGGATGAAAAGCGCTCTATAAATGAAGCTAGCCTAATTATTATCCAAAACTTGACGTTTTTACATGCAATGTCTATAGTGATAAGGTAATCATAAATATGAAAAGATACGTTTTCTTTGGATGCTGTTTTGCCATACAACGCAGTGCGTGTGTCTCTCGCCATGAATGGATGTAAAGAAATAAGTTTTTCGTGTTATAACATTCTCTGAAGTAGCTCTGGATCCTATCACCATAGATAATTCTGATGTGGTACGTTTCTCTAGAATGTAGCATTTTACATCAGACTACCCTGAACATCTTGCTAACTTAGTTATGCAGAAATATTTTGAAAAATTGGTGAAATTCTTCTCTAACAGAGCCTTTGCTTGGTAAGGCTGAAGGCAGTGCTGCAGCTTACATAAGAGAGCTGTGTAGAGTGACCCAGAATCTAACATATGTTGGTAGAGTTTTTTTCCCATTTGTTTTTCTTCTTTTTTGCATGTAGCTTTTCTCACTGTAAATATACAACAATGAGCAGCTTCATTACGTATACCTCCTTCTTTGTCTATTTGTCCATTTCATCAGTTCCACCTAACATATAGGTGTTTTTTAGTCCATCTGTATCTCTGCGTACTTTATTAGCTTTATTTTACCGTGTTCTTCGAAGATCAGGACCCCCACAGGACCACCACAGAGCAGGTATTATTTGGGTGGCACTGCGGTGACACAGGTGTGGTGGTGGTGTGTTGCGCTGGTCTGAGTGGATCAGACACAGCAGTGCTGCTAGAGTTTTTAAACACCTCAGTTTCCTTCTGAACTGAGAATAATTCACCAAGCAAAAACATCCAGCCAGCAGTGTCCTATGGGCAGCGTCCTGTGACCACTGATGAAGGACTAGAGGACGACCGACACAAACTGCAGCTACAGATGAGCTACTTTCTCTGACTTTACATCTAGAAGATGGACAGACAAAATAGGAGTGTCTAATAGAGTGGACAGTGAGTGGACACAGTGTTTAAAAACTCCAGCAGCACTGCTGTGTCTGATCCACTCATACCAGTCAGTCACTGACACCAGGCTAACAATTGTTTACATCTACATTGTTTTGTGTTTTGTGCTTTACTTCATTCATACCCAAAGGTAGCAGCACATTTAGCTGAGAAAATGAGCCTTCCTTTAAATTGATCTCATATGAACATGCTAATGTGTTTGCTTGAACATTTTGTGTGAAGTCTTTTACTTTTGTACATGACTGAATTTACCCTTCTCTGCCAGTGAGCTGTGGGAATTACTGTTTAGTATATGCCTGTTAAGGCATTGACACATTGTGATGTGTAGTGCTCTGTTCATTTCAAATTGCTTTGTGTTTTTTTTAATTGTATGTGGTTATGTCTATTTTGCAGATAGTGTATTTGAAACCTCCGTGGACTCTGGAGGCTGTGCTGCAGTGTTTCCGGAAGCATTGGATTGCTGTGTTTGGGAACATTATCAAGAGAAATCTATTGAGTTGTGTGGAGACACTTGGCAGCTGTTTGTGCTTGGGTGAGTGTTTGTGTTTTTGAGTGCACGATATTGTACCTAAGCAATGCTGAAAAAAAGACTGATTCTTTTTTGCTATACTGAATGTTTGTGCATCTCAGGAAAATGTAATGCATTCAGATTTTGGTTCAATTACGCTGTTCATTGTGCCACTCACAATGCAGTGTTTACTCCTTAGATATCTAGAGTTATTGTTGTCATTTTGCTATACAGTTCAAATGTAATTTTATAATAATGTAATTAGTTACATGATGAGCTACATTTATATACAGTTACAGAACCCTACTAAGTTTGATTACCATGACTTATTATACTATTAATTTAATTTGTCGCCAAAACTGTAATTAATCTAGCAATAAAGAATGGAATTGCGAGTATCAGGTGACTTTTATCGTTCAGTGCCCTCAGGGCTGGCTCTAGCCTTTTTTGGGGCTCAGTGCAGGACTTTTTAGGGGGGCCCCCACTCTGCTAGCTGATGTACTGTAATATTAAGGGCTAACAACAATTGTAACCAATTATTTCTGATAATAGATGCTTGTTTGGAGTTCAAATAAGTTACAGTTAAATTTACAGACAACCTTCTAAGCATTCTTGACCCACAACGCGTTATTTCTTGCTAAACCGGCTAACTTTAAGGTCAGTTGAATCTAACCCTGGTGGCAGTGGTGCTTTTTAACATTGTAAATGCTTTACTTTCTATGTATTTACATGTTTCATGCAATTGGCTGTTCTTGATAAATGTCCTGCTTCCATGTGCACGCCCATGTGGGTTAATCACAGCCTGAGGATCAAAACCTGAACTAACAGACAAAGTCGCTAACGGCTGTTGTAAAATGAGTTTACCGGATCTGTGTTTGTTAGGTTTTGTGAACCTGAAACTTATTTCGAAAGTCTTTGTAAGTTAAACCTGCTTTGTTAGACAGACCCAAGATCAACTACTTCTTGTTGTCCAACTACAAGCCAAAATTAATGGCAGAACAAAAAACAAAGACTACCTTTATCTATACGCCTTTTCTCCTCATCTTCTTCTCTTCTTTTCAAGTCCACTTGCATACGCTCTTTAAGGTTGCTTATTAGGATCACTTAGATGGGGTACAGGCCTATTTACATGTGATTCACATTCTAAATTGATAGGTTCAGATCTGCACTACCAACTTGACAAACACATCAGCAGTTGTCTTGCTACAAGCAAACACTTTTTATTAATTTCAAATCGTAATAAAAGATCTCCTCTTCTACTTACAAACACAAATGTGATATTGATTAAAAGTTCAGAATCCTCACTTTGTTTCTCCACTTGTTTCAGTTAGCCATGGGTGAGAAATTATAACATGTCTTAGTTATCACTGGTAATAACTGCAACTTTTAAAGGTTAAAATAACATTCAAGTATGCTATCCCACCAGCACTGGCTTTTTACTGTTTACAAACTCAAGACTGAGTAGAGCTCACTGTTATGTGTGTGTGCAGGTAGGGTTATGAGTTTGACCTGGTTCTGTCGATCAGTGCCGTGGTAACATGACTGTGCTTTTCCTCCCTGCTGCTTTTGGCCAGCAGCCACGATTGAATGAGCAAAAGAGAAATAGAGGGCGGGAAAAGGAGGTGGGGGAGGAGGAGAAGCAAGGAGGGCACTGTAAGAGTTTGTGGAGGAGTGGAAAAGTACTGCTCCCCCTCTCTCTCTGTGCCCAGGATATCGTGCCTGCCTGTATCTGATCTGCTGCTTATGGCTTGTGTGGGAGGGTGTGGGAATGTCTTTATATGACCTCTAAAAGAGCGTGACTACCGTTCTGTAGGAATATTTGTAGTTGCCTGCGTATGTGCATAAAGTGCTTGCACAAGGTCTCTTTCTCGCACTCTCTCTCTCTCTCTCTTTTCTCAGAGCTCCACTCAGCTCTATTATAAAAAAAAAAATCACTCTGAGATTATTATATGAACTGCTCCAAATGATCAGCATGGTCAGCTCCAAAATTCAATTCAAAAGTCAAATAAATTGCACAGTATGGCACAAATGTCAGATGTTTACAAATGTCTCTTTGTTTTTAAAATTTGAGGTTTTATTATTGAGGTTGAATTATTTAACAGAAAGTTTTACAGAAGCTTCAACTTCTAAATATTTTGTCAGTATTTAGTGTGTCTACATTTATATTATGTCTTTCATTACTTTAAGAAGACCTTCTTTCAGTTTTTTTGCAGGCACATTTTTCCACACGTCTAAAGTTCAGTCTCAGAGATTGGTTGCATTTTCTGCTTCTCACAATTCAAATAATCCCAAACACATGCAGTCATATTGGGATCTAGGTTGGGTTGCGCTGGTTTTGCCTAAGTTTATACTTAAGTTTGTACGTAAAGTCTTTGCTCAGTCCTTAGTTAACACTAGTTAGTTTCAAATTATCCTTTTACTAAATTTGGTTGCCACCACAGATCCTTAAGTAGTGTCTTAACTAGTAACAACTAACTAATGCACATATTGCGTTAACATGATGATAACATGTTCAGAACAGTTATGCAATCTATAAACCCGCTGCCATGAATATGCAATGGCAGCTTACGCTAACTTTTTCCATTAAAAAGTGCAACTGAATAATTCATTTTCAATTCAGTCAATACCAAAATGAATATTTGTAGCCCTTGTCTGTTAATTTTTTTTTAGATTTTCTTGTGACAACCAAATATGCAGCTTTTTTAAATGATGGTTTCTCGCTAAGTGACACAGCAGCAGCATAGTAAGCTATAAAAAATAATATTAGATAAAATAGCTATATTTTTGGCCTTTTTTTTATTCTGTATGGTTTCCATTGGTGTCCCCTGCTTAGGGGAAGTGTAATTATTAAGTTACTACTTAGCTTAATGTTAAAACTAGTTTGTGTGGTGCAACTTGTTTTGATTTAGTAATGTGTAAACCAGAACTTAGAAAACATTTACGTTACAACTAGCCTGTGTTTAAATATACGTACAGTTGGTGCAAAAGGCCCCTGGGTTCTGAGGTGGTCAATTTCATTGTTCTGAGAACACCAGCAGCTTCTTTGTTCACTTTCTCATCTTCTAGTTCATTTTCTTTGTAAAGGCTTCTTCACAGCTACACACCCTTTTAGGCCCATAGTATTGAGTTGTCTTCTCACATTGGAAGTATGGACAGTGGATTTCTTTAGATCAGATCTGAGATCTTTAAATACTTTTTGTTGAAGGTGACAGTTTTGGTGTTCTGCCAGGTCTTTAGCAGTCTCTCTTTCGTTTACATTTTTTTTGAATCCCAGTCCTAGAAACTCTTAGAAACTTTTTTTTCCCCTCTTTCCCCTTCTTTAAGTGGACTATCTTACATTTAATCTCTTTAGAAATATCTCCTAAAAAATCAATAACTTATACTTAATGACTGTTTTGACTGCAGGTTAAGTAAATGAGGGGTGGTCTCTGTCTTCTGCACAGTACTGTAACAAATTTATGACTCGACCACATTACTGCAACAGGAGTCATCAATTTGAGTCCTGCAGGGCTGACCTCCTTCACAGGTCAGTGAGTTCCCGCAAAAAACACCTACGAAATCTAGCTACTAACTGTTGGGTTGAATCAGGTAGAAAATCACCAAACTGTGCAAGATTACAGCCTTCAAGGACCAGAATTGTTGACCACTGCTGTAGTTTAGTTTTCTGTGCTCTGATACATGATTAGCTTATATCTGGGTGTTAGATCCGAGAGAATTAAGCTTTCGGCGTATTTGTCAGTAAGGGTGTTTTTTATTCTCCTGCTGTCTCTGTAGGTGCATCAGTGGAGCGCGGCTCTGTTCTGACTGCCTTGCGCGCAGCTGAGGAGCTGCTGATGGAGCTTAGCGGCAGGTCTCAGTACAGTGGCCACGTGGCAACAGCTCTCTCCTGTCTCCAGACTCTACGACACAGACTGCAAGGCCAGGTGACTCCAACACACACATGCACAGGTTCAATAGAGTTCTCAGATCTGTTCTTGAAGCATCACATAATTTCTTTACAGTGGTGGTGATAGGAACCAGGGGCTGTATTACAGAAACATCCTATCATCCTGTCTTAACTGAAGATCTGACAGGTCAAGATAAGATTTCTCACAAATCTGTATTACAGAAGCAAATCTTATCTTAATTTAGGAATCTTGTTTTATTGTACAGCATCCTTATTTTAGTTAGGAAATCTTCACCTGCTTGATTGAGGTCGACAATCAACTGTCATGCCAGCTGCCAAGCAACCGATGTGCACAGCTGAAATGGAAACATGTAATCAAAATAATAAAGTTAGTTAGCCAGACAGTTATCATTACTGTTGTGTAAAAGGTCAAACAAAAGTGCAGTAAACTAATGTTTTTTCTATGAACTGGCAGAGAAAGAATGATGTTGCTCTATTCTGTTAAAAGATTTTTGCATTACTTTTTTTTGCATAACTTTTTTTCAGCCATTTTCTTCAAGATCTGGGTTAGCAATATGTATATGTCAGCTACTCACATTCCTCTCCCTCACATACTGAAACTGCTCTCTGCTGCTCCGAGTCCCAGCCAAAATTCCCAGCAACTAGGTTATTTTCTAAATATGGTAACAGTTCTTGTTATGAAGGTTTATTACACCGTTGTTTGTAGCGTAGCTAGAAACTGCTTCCTACTTCCTACTTTTGTAAGATTTTCCTATAAGCGATTAACTTTATTTATGAGAACACTAGTTATGCACCTTAACTGTAGCAATAAAATGATATGTTAGCTTAGTGTTACGCTGTCTGCCCTAAGATCAAGGCTCACAGTGTTTTCCCTGCAATTCTTTTTTTACAGGCATGATGCACAATAGAGCACACAAGAAATTTCCCCACTGTGACCACAAATGACCTTGCTGTGGCATGTCTTTACTATTAAAACAAAATATTAGACATTTAAAACCTTGACAGGGGCTTTAAAACGATAAGTTTTAACTTAAAACCTTTTGTGTGGCTGAATTGTTTTCCCCTCTCCTAACTATTTATGCACACTTGTAACAGAAAACAGACTGTTTACTCCATGTAATAGTCTTCAGCCTATTCAGAATTACCTACGTTAAGTGATGGTTGCTAAGTGCATAAAATAGCCTAGACACCTATAAGGAGAAGACATTTGTCCCAGCATAAGTGGAATGTGTTTGAATGTTTTTAGGTAAAACGTTAGTCGATTCAGCAGTTGAGCTATTCTGTATCAGTGAATTTATCTGAAAAACTGCATAAATGTTCTCGAGTTCGGACATCTTAGAGTTGAATCAGCTTTTTACAATTTAGCCTGTTAAGAATTTACAAAATCTTTACTTGATAAATGTTTGGTCAATGTAACCTTCTTGAGTAAAACTCACATCATTCTGGTTTGCTATTGGCACGATATATTAGCATATTGGATGTGTTTTTCAACCTTGTTTAACCTGCAATCTGTGTGTGTCGTCTTTCTCCTAAGCCTACCTTCCCTCGGGTGGCTACCTGTTTTGTAAGTGGTAAACACTCAAGTTTCAATTAACACTGACTTTGGTTAATTGAAACCAGTGCTGAGCGAGCCAAGTTACCAGGTTCCCACCTGCTGAATGTCGTTTTGTGGTGGTACTCAGTGCTAAATAGTCAGCTCTAGGCAAGATGATCCAACACGGTATTATGTTGAATTGTTAAGTGGCAAAATTTGTGTGAAGGCAAAGAATTTAAGTTAAATGACATAACTGCTGCACATTAGAATCAATAAATTGTATTGAATTAGTACAACTATTACATGTAAGTTCAAAATACTCTGTACTTCTAAGGTCAACAAAATGAATGGCGTTAGTACAGTTTGCTCAGTTTACTTAAGTATGCAACAATGAATGTGTGTTCATACTCAGTTCAGGAAATTACATTCAAATTATTTGAATTACTTAAACGGTTTAAGGCAAACAATTTCAAACAATTTCAAACATTTAGGTTTTACAGTGTGTCAGGCAACATATTTGTAGCCATTTTGTGTAGTAACTTTCAGTAGTTTAACTGCTACATAACACTGATATAACCATGTCTTAAACTTGTCATGGCAGATGTCAAGCTGTCATGCTGCGATTTATCCTGACAGATTTTGTTCACCAATGTACACAGTGTCACATGCTTTTTTGCACTCTAGTACACTCTAGTAAGCCATCATGATATTAAACATTATTTGTCATGACAGATATTATAAAGGTAATGCTAGGATGATAACACCGTCATAACACCGTGTTTATGGCATGGCTATGTAGCAGAGTTCACGTAAAGTGTAAACAAACTTTCTATGAAGTAGCTTTTAAAAACATTAAACCCTCCAGATGTCTGGTTCCTGTCACCACCACTGTCGTTTGCCATCAATTTACTCTGAATGACCATTTAATTATGCAGACATTTTGAAAAGTCAGTGGAATTCCACACAGCAGGGCTTAAACTACACTGATGCTTGTGACCAAATTTGAGCTTGCCAACAATGCAAAGTGTAGAGATGGAATGTAAATGTGTTTGTGTATGTAACTGTTTGTTTGCTTGTTTCAGCCTCAGGAAAAGACAGTGGAGGACACCAGTGATGGTGACACCCTGATGGCTGAGGCGGTGGAAGATGTAGCACCACCTCCCCAGACCTCTCCTAATGAAGTGTGGGCTTTTTTTGAGAGCCTCTGGAACAATGTCTGTCATGTCAGGTGAGAGAGGGCTCTCAGAAAGAATAGGGAGCGAGGAATTCATCTAGGGTTGTCATGATTACTTGATTAAACTTAAAAAAAAAAAAGTTAGTTTGCATATTTTAAATTCTGGTCACTCTTACAGTAAGTAAAAAAAACTGATAGAGTTGTTTATGTGTTTTTTGCCACATCATATTCTTATGTTTCACTTTGTGAAAGCTTTTATTTTTCCAGTATTCTGTAATCTGCTATGGGCTGTACATGGTTTGTAATTGTTCATGTATGTCCATTTTTGTTTTCTGACAATTTTTTAAAGAGCCCAAATTTTCCTCCCTTTTGTTAAATAAAGCAGTTTTAACTAATATAACAAAAAATATAACAAAAACCTTCCAAACGTACCATTCACAACATACTTCGTATATGGAAACAAGCAGCAAAAAGTCTATTTTGAATTCATTGTTTCTATGATGTTATGAGACATCATTTGCATATATCGACCTATTCAGCCTACAGTTCAGCCCCGCCCAATCATACTGAAGTTATGAAGAGTGTTTCAAGTGCTTTTTGTAATAGGAACAATACAGACAACAGTACAGAGCTCAGTTTTTCTTATGTCAGTCTTAAAGACACAGTAACCAAAACATCCTGTTTGATTCTAAGGGATAAAGATTGGAAAAGGTTGGAAAAATATCATGTAAAAATGAATCATGACTGTTTTGTTTACATAAAACCACAAAAATGTAATAAGTTGAGTGAAGGCAAAAATTAAATACAAGAAAAATCTATAAAAATGTACCATTTAAAACTCTATCTTCAAAATAATCAGTAGATTACTAATATAATGGAAGTTTTACCAGCTGGGAGATGATCATTTTAGCTGTTACATACTGATTGATATTTAGTTTGTTATTAATTATAATGTTGTTTGCTAATCAGTGTATCAAATATGCTTTTTCTTAGTTAGTGCTCATGTTAACTATATTACTATATAGCTGCTACACATATTGTATGTAAGTGACGTTCATTGTATGTTCTGTAAAATAAAGTCTTGTTAAAATTCATCTCTCTCTCAGCTCGACTCTGTTCTCGGCACTACAGTACTCACCAGACTCAATGGAGACAGTGCAGCTGTTCTTCACAACCCCACCTCAGGATGCTCTGACCTGCCTCCACCGGCTCTCCACTGCTCTCACACAGCTGCTGGAGGCCTTCCAAAGGTACACAAATCTTTTTACTCTTTCACTATTGCGTTAACCCTGTCGTGAATCCCATATTTCTCTGGAGCTGATGCAGTTTTACAGTGACTTTGAGTTTAGTGTAATCTCTGTGTGCTCCAGTGCCTATATATCTTAGGCATATCAGGATGTTTGTATTATTCTTTTAAAGTGAATGACAATCCTTTATTCAGAGTTAGCTCTCCTTCTGGTGTGGTGTGCATGAAGTCCAGATATTGCTGTTTTTTGGGGGATTCGTGGCTACACGCCTGCTGCTGTAGAGACTGCAGCCTCTTAGCATTCCAGACAGGTGCTTCACTAATGGAATTTTTCTCAGTGTGCCTCCAGAGCGTGTTTTTCAGGAGAGGAAGGCTATGAGGCTTGCTAACAGCTACTCATTACGGCGAGGTCATCTGTGTGTGCGCGCACAAAAGCCACTCTTTGTTGAACTTAGTCCGCTTCCAGCCTCTGTGGTTCTAAGCAGCAGGCAGATCCGCATCAGAAGTTAAATCAGCTGTTTTTTTTTGTCCTGGTTAGGCTAGTCTTGAGTGAGCAGTATGTTTTTGTGATAAGCACATTGTTAAGGGCTGCGATTACCGAACAGGTCAAATTACCTGACAGGCAGCAAGAGTTACATAATGACATTGGTGAGAACGTAACATTGGAAGTCCAACTGGCTTTCCTGCTAAGGACTTAAACTCTCCTCTCCTTTGTGAAGAGCAAGTAACCATTTGGTTAAACAGCCAGTTACAAAACATGTGCATACTCTACCCTGAGCTAGTAGCCTGTAAAAATGCTAAAAATGTGATGCCTATTCTCATTCACAGTGTGTAAAATGCAGAGACTGTGTGGTAAAATGTATGAAGCGCTAATGACTGTTGTCACAACAAATCTGCATCATCAGGGGAAAGGATTTTTAAAGGATTAAATATATATTTATTCATTTTTCTAGGCCTATATTGAAAATGAAATACGCTTGTGTACATATGCATTTATTCCTTTTTGTAGCCTGACTGCAGACCTGAATAAAAAAGGCTGTTAAGGGCATCCTGACTGTTTTTAGACTAAAGCACCTCATGGAACTCGCTCGTGTTTCACAGACTACAAGTTCTCCATAAGTGAGTGCTGTTAGCAGTCAAACTTTAGATTCTTCACTGAGAGCATTGCTTTGCACAGCAGTGAATGGGGCTTTTGTATTTATTTATTTATTCATTTATTTATTTATTTATTCATTTATTCATTTATTCTATTCTTTAAGGAAAAGGTTAGATTTCTGTTTGTACTTGCAGTCAGAGGCACACTATTTTAATAACAATTCATCGCTTATCATATTGTCATTGTCATGTCCAACAGCTTTATCGGACATCACGTTTTATGTCCATATCGTGTAGTCCTAATGCAGTGTTTGCCATAATGCCATAATTAGAGCAGCTGCATATTCTAATCAAGGCTATAATCAGACAGCTCATTACTATACAGCCACAGTGACACAATTTTTATTTCTTTGTGTGACCACAGCATTGACATACAAGTTAATCTTTTTTCCATATTTACAATTAAAAGTTTCAGAACACCACCATAACTCCAGTACTGAGTTTTCTAAAACGCTAAAGGTCACTCATACAGACAGGTATGTTTGCATTTGTTGACATGCCAATTAATGCCATCCCATATGCAAATTACTTTGCTTCCTGCATGATAGGCCAGTAGGGGTGGGAATCACTACAGGCTCCTGTCTATAAGAACCTACACTATATTGCCAAAAGTATTCACTCACCCATCCAAATCATAGAATTCAGGTGTTCCAATCACTTCCATGGCCACAGGTGTAGAAAACCAAGCAGACTGCTTCTACAAACATTTGTGAAAGAATGGGTCGCTCTCAGGAGCTCAGTGAATTCCAGCGTGGTACCGTGATAGGATGCCACCTGTGCAACAAGTCCAGTTGTGAAATTTCCTTGCTACTAAATATTCCACAGTCAACTGTCAGTGGTATTATAACAAAATGAAAGCGATTGGAAATGACAGCAACTCAGCCACGAAGTAGTAGGCCACGTTAAATGACAGAGAGGGGTCAGCGGATGCTGAGGCGCATAGTGCGCAGAGGTTACCAACTTTCTGCAGAGTCAATCGCTACAGACCTCCAGACTTCATGTGGCCTTCAGATTAGCTCAAGAACAGGGTGTAGAGAGCTTGATGGAATGGGTTTCAATGGCTGAGCAGCTGCATCCAAGCCTTACATCACCAAGCGCAATGCAAAGTGTTGAATGCAGTGGTGTAAAGTGCCACCACTGGACTCTGGAGCAGTGGAGACGTGTTCTCTGGAGTGATGAATCACGCTTCTCTGTCTGGCAATCCAATGGACGAGTCTGGGTTTGACGGTTGCCAGGAGAACGGTACTTGTCTGGCTGCATTGTGCCAAGTGTAGTTTGGTGGAGGGGGGATTATGGTGTGGGGTTGTTTTTCAGGAGTTGGGCTCTGCCCCTTAATTCCAGTTAAAGAAACTCTTAATGCTTCAGCAGACCAAGAGATTTTGGACCATTTCATGCTTCCAACTTTGTGGGAACAGTTTGGGGATGGCCCCTTCCTGTTCCAACATGACTGTGCACCAGTGCACAAAGCAAGGTCCATAAAGACATGGATAAGTGAGTTTGGTGTGGAAGAACTTGACTGGCCTGCACAGAGTCCTGATCTCAACCCGACAGAACACCTTTGGGATGAATTAGAGCAGAGACTGTGAGCCAGGCCTTCTCGTCCAACATCTGTGTCTGACCTCACAAATGCGCTTCTGGAAGAATGGTCAAAAATTCCCATAAACACACTCCTGAACCTTGTGGAAAGCCTTCCCAGAAGAGTTGAAGCTGTTATAGCTGCAAAGGGTGGGCTGACATCATATTAAACCCTATGGATTAAGAATGGGATGTCACTCAAGTTCATATGCGTGTGAAGGCAGATGAGTGAATATTTTTGGCAATATAGTGTATGAACATTTTCATAACATGTAAGAATGGTGTCATAAACATGGCTGTAAATATAAAATAAATATATAAAGTATAAAAATCCATTACACTTTATAGCCATGTTTATTATGCATTATGAATTGTTAATGCATTTTAAATAGTGTTTGTCACACATTATTATGTCAGCACTGGTTGTACAAAGGAAACTCCTAGCTTGTAGATTGCATTATGACTAGCAGACCTGCCTCCTCACACAGAATTTATATACTTGTCTCTTTATGCATACCGATTGTTATTAATGGACATATTATAACCCCATTATAAGAGCTGGTAAGTTATATTTGTCAGCCCTAAATAAAGTTCGGCATACTATGCTAAGGCTTGCTCCAGTATGAGTTAGACTTTAAGTTATGAGCTGAGGTTGTGATGACTTTCAGCTTGCTCGTCACAGATGGGCAATAAAGATGGTTGGTTTATGCAGTATTGTAAATGATTTTGATCAAGGCATGTAAAGTAAGTACTAAATAAAGGTTGATTATGAGAATAAATAGTAGGTACAATGGTAAGGTTGTAATTAAGGCAGAATGCAGCCATTAAGACTCAGCTTGCCTTGGCATGTCCTGACCTTCCTGTCAACAGCTGGCTATTTCGGTTTTTGGAGGAATGCTTTTGAGCCTTGGGGAACAGAGCTGATAAGAAATTCATATCTACTGTGCCTTCTTAAGAGGAAACACGTTTCCAAGAAATGTCAGTATTCTTCAGTAGAATTCCATGGAAAACTACATATTAGGTGGCTTAATGTATTTTATATAACATGAACGAGACTCAGGAATTCTTAGGAACTTTAGGTAAAGAAGTCAGGAAAGTTTTTTCACAGAAGAATGTTTAAGAATTTGTGGACCACATTCACTTATGCTATCATTTCTTTTTAAAATGACAGTTCAGATCAGTTTTTGCAGGAAAAATCACATGAATAATTTCATGAGTCTGGCTTCATGGCTACTTAATAAGATGATGGAGACACTTTATTTAGCCTCCCATTTGAAAGAAAGGACTGTGGGATTTTAAAGTCTTCTGTATGTCTGTTTATCTGTTCCATTAAAGGCTTTGTGAAGTACCAGTGCTGTGTATTTAGTCAAATTGGTACTGTGGTGTAAAGGATCTAACTGGCTGATGTTTGTTTTCTCTGGGATTGTTATGTTTATTTTAGAGATTTTTTTCCAAAAGCAGCCTCTTCCTCTTTAATCTAATGGGTGTAAATGACCGATCAGCGTTGAAATATTTGTCTGAACCCAACGGACCCAAGTGCTTTCACCAAATTTGGACGTCATTTCCCAAGTATCTGTCAGGCTAAGGTCGAGTTCAGATTTTATGTTCGGGCTCTCACAGCCCGCCTTTCACTTTTAACAGCTTGAGTCACTCACTCGTGTTATCGACACAATTTAGCACAGAGTCTTCAAAGCCTTTACTAGGGATGTGCATTTAGACTGTTTTTCATATTTGAGCGCGGGTGTCATTGTACACATGTTAATATTCATTTTTTTCAATACTGGGGTTGCGAGATGTTACACACTGTGTATCAAATGCAGTTAGATTACATGCTATAAAATTCATGATTACGGAAATGGTTTCTATGGTTCAATTTAACACAATCCATGATAGCACAGCTCTCGGAAATTGAAAAAACTGGTTTAGTTCTAATTTCCTGTTCCACCTTAAATGGTGCAGCAGTTGCACTCTGGTGCCTGAGGAGAATTCGAATAAGAAACTAACTTTAGCGTTGGGTACCTTGGACAGTTGATTAGTGAAATAGTGAGCGGAGAAAACAAGCTTTAGCTGGGAGGAGTGTTGTGAACTCGCACTCATCTCCTGTTTGAGAACACTTTGTTTCCCGGTCGAGTACAACAGTGACAGACAATGAGTGGTAGACTGAATGGTGACATTGTTGCGCAAGTGCAAATACCTCAACTATGCTAACTCATTGTTTCAGTTACTGGAGCGAGGAGAAAACACGAGTCACAGCAGCTACTTCACACAGGTTTCAAACAGCCACCAAGCAGAGTCTGAACGAGCTAACCAGTTGTAAAGTCCACCTTTATTCGGTTGTACAGATCACCTGTATTCAGTTATGGATTCCACAGTTTGCTTGGATTGATTAAGCTACGTTAGAAACACACTCATTTTAGCCAGATGTTAAGTCCCATACTTTCTATACAAAAACACAAGATCTGATTGTAAATGAACTTGTAAAGCTCAGTTTGTTTAATTTTGAGATGTAGCCTTATAAAAATATAATAAAGATAATCTTTAAGATGTAAATGAAGCAATTCGGAGTAGTTTGAAATTCTTTATCCTAGAGAAACTTATCTAGTTAGCATTGTTCACAGTGGTGCTGATAGGAATGCCTCTAAAAGCACCCTCACAGAAAATGATTGCATGAAATGGTTGCAAATGCACAGATTCCTCATGCCTGAGACATTGTTGTCCAATAATTTTGAGGTAAGATTTTGGCCCAAGACATATTTTTAAAATCAGTTAATGCTGTAGAGGTACATGTAGGGTGTTGTAAGGAAAATAGTCTCTGAAGAAAACATATTTTCAGATTTAACACTATTTTGCAGTTATCAACATTGCATGTAAAAACACATGTAGGTTCACTGCTGGTTTTGGATAGTAAATAAAACGGCTATATTTGTGTTATGGAATTGGCAACCCCTGGTTCCTGTCACCACCACAGTAAAGAAATCTGTACAAGTTTTTCTACAGTGAGCTATTTCACATCAGACCAATCTGAATGACTTTGTCTCCACCACTTAATTATGCCGAAATCTTGAAAAAGCTGTGAAGATGTGAAGCATCTCATGGACCTGGCTTGTGACTCTCTCAGTGACATATTCACTCATATTTAGCAGGCTGAAGATTCTCTGCGGGGGGTGGGGTCCTGTTAGTGCTTCACATGAATGACACTGTGTCCTTGTTAAATGATGTCAGCAGTTGTCAAAAGTTATGACGTTCATTCTGAGATCTGTGTTCTTGTTTAAAATAAATTTGAGACAGGAGCTGGCTATATTTCCTGTAGAGATTACACGCACATGATCTCTTTGTTGATTGTATGTCACTATAGGCAAAGTAATACAGAGGTGTTCAGTGCTGTAATTAAGCTTGCTTTAGTCAGGCCACTCTGATGGATCTGATGTGCATTCAGCTCATATGGCCTGATTTGCATCAGTAGTTTTCTACTCTGCAGTAAAGATTCAGCAGTATATCAGGTGCATTTCACACCTACTCTTTTGTACACATACATTTGGGTGCATGTTTGGTTTTTATGTTTGTTCTGACTATGTTGAGAGCTGTAGAGGGACCAGGAGGGGTGCAGAGGCAGATTTGTTGCTGTTTCCATGGATACAGCTAAGAGTAATTTTCATGTGCTGGAAGCAGAGAGATGACTCATCAGAGTGAACACACACACACACCTTTTGCCTCACTGTCCTCTCTCTATCTCTCTCTCTCTCTCTCTCTCTCTCCTCGATCTCATTTTGCCCCAGAACGAAAACCAGGGTGCATGTGTAATAAAGAAATTGCTTTCTCCTCTCAATCTCCCCTCATTTTCTCAATCCCTCCCTCCCCCTTTTCCTCATTGTCCCACGTTCCTCATTGCCCTTCATGTTGTTCTCCTTCTCTTTTTTCATTCTCACTTCCTTCTAGCTATTGCATTTTTTGCTCATCTTTTTTCTTCTCTTTCCTCCCTATTCCCTCACCTAAACCTAAGCATGCCTCTGGTTTCTCTCTGTCATTTCTCTTTCTCTCTTTCTTTTATGTGTGTCTTCTTTGAAACCTCATTGTCTCAGGCTCTTACGGTTGCTATTTGCTCATGAAACAGCTTTGTTCCATCTCTTTGTTTTAGTCATAAAAACCTCCAGTAAAATGTAAATAGCGTGAGCTGTGATTTGGTCTCAGGCACGAGCTGAAAGACAGTGCTGTAGATCATCACAGTCTTGATGTTATTCTCAGTAACAAACAACCTTGAGTTTTTGCATGTAAAGCAAAGATGCCCTGAACAGTGTTTCAAATATGTGTTTTAATGTTGGCAAATTCTTCCACCAAAAAAGTAGTTCCACTACAAGCATGAACACAACTACCGTGTGTTACAGCCATTGTTGTTATTATTTGCATAAGAAAGCTGAACAAGCTCAAGACAACTCTACTTTCACAGTTCTGTTATGTGGCTGGAAATGGACATGATCATGGTAGGTACCAGAATAGCTCTGGGTTTGGATTTATAACCGTACTAGGCTGTACCGTATTGCCTAGTGGAAAAAACCCACTGGGGCGGTTTCATACTTGATCTTTTTTCAGACCCTCGTCCTTTTGACCCCAAAGTTCGTTACATTTGGCCAAATGTGGATTCAGTTGTTCATTTTTTATTAGTTTGGGTACAGCCCAGAATAATGATCACTGGTCTTTCTGAAAACGATGATGTGAATGAATGTATGAAAGCTGTCTTCTTTCTGCAGCGAGTAGTATGGTTGGTTTATTTTGTCACATTACTTTCTGATGTTTTACATTGGCAGGGAAGGAAACCGAAGTGGGCCAAGCACTTGCTTTGAGATATTGAAAAATGCACAGCTGGTGTCGTCCTAAACAGTTAAAAAAAGTTATAGTTGAAAACCTTCACAAATAAAAACAGCTTCTCCTTCACAGCTTCCTGCACAAGGACATGCCGCATATCTAAAAACCTCTCCTTGACGCTGTTTGAGTGTCGGTAGCCAATTGAAGAAACTACAATAATAAAGGTTGGAGCTTACTGGCATCTGCTTATTGTCAAAAAGGAATGGATGAAATTATTAACATGCCCAGAATCTGTTCTTGGTGCAGATTTTAGTTTTAAAGCAAGTGTGAAAACATGTTTAGTAACTAGTGCTCAGTGGAATTTAACAGGTACGGTTGAAAAAAACATGCTGTTGTCACATATAACAACATAGGTAAACGCTTTTCAACAAATCAGACTTTGTGGTTGCAATACTCAGTATTTTTGTATGAACACTTGAGTCAGTGACATGCCTTTTTTGTGTTAGTTCATTTTTCTATTAAATAATTTAATAAATAGATGACATCACATTATTACCTGCTTTATGTGAATACATTTTTATGTTCATCAAAGTATTTATTTTTGTCTTTTTTTGCATCCCAGAGTCTAAAATATGTCATGTGGTCCAACCGTCCAGCCATATATGCAGATTAAGCAAACTGTGAAGCAGGGTAATTTAGTCATATTAAATAGTTGTGAAATAGGGTGGTTTTTAAAATATTCAACCCTATGAAAAACATGTAAATTCTGATTTCCTCAAATGTCATCTGGCACAACCTACAACAAAGAACCTTTATTCTGACATTGAAGGCCAGGGTAAAAGACTGGGCAGTGTATTGCATCATTTAAAAAAAGACCCCAAGTGACCTTCATAGTGCCATGCCAGTTTGAGTAATTTTTGAGACATGTTCAGGCTGCTTGAGTTTGATTTGATTGGTGAAGTGGTAGTGGTAGTCAGGTAGTGTGACTCCAGGAAAACCTGTTATTATTATTATTATTATTATTATTATTATTATGCAAAATTACTTGAAATAATATTTAAACTTCAGTTCAAGGACAGAGGTTTATATTGGTGTCCAAGTACAAAGACTAGTTCATGCATGTTTTCAGTAGCAGTAAATAACTATTGTTATTAGCTATATAATAGCTATATAAAGAATAGTGTTTTTATTAATGATTGATTGTCATTTAAAAAGAATGTATACAATTAAAAGCAATGAAACAAATATACTAATATAAATATACTAAATAGAAATTATGCAGTTGCAAAAATGCACATCATGTCTTTTTTAATAAGATTTTTTTAATAAGATTTTTCATTTTAAATGCCTAGTCATTGACCCTTTTGCATACTTTGTGGAGGATTACCACACAGAACTCTTGAATGACTTGATTATGTACAGATAAATTGAATTTATTGTTGTCCAAGTGAAGAAACTGCGCTTTGACCTTTCTGGTCTGGGGTTTGATATGCACTCATTATATAAGGTGTATTGTTTTTTGCCGCCATACATAGATGAGTAATTGTGTTGTGGGTTTGCTCTCTTTTAGGGTACTATCTGTGGACAGCACTGTAGAGGACGCTCAGGCCATGCTCACTGTTATTCACACTAGTGAGGTAAGGCTGGCACAAACAAGATCATCTCCATCATTCCAGGGCCATGACTACAGTACCCTTTGAATATTCGCTTGTTAGTTTCTGTCTTTAAACCATGACATTTGGTTGACTGTACATTAAAACAGTCCTGTTCCTCAAAAGAACATATGTTTACAAAATGTACCGCTGTGGTTTTTGCTTGGACATGCTGTGGCCAGTTGGATGGAGAAAAAAAGCTTGGTTTTGAAGCATTCATTTTCACAGTACTGGCACTGGTGCTCACCAGCAACAGTTAGGTTTAACTGAACTTTCTCCAAAGGCTCACTTCACTGACCGTGACTGAGGACGTTGAGAACGTGCCCTGGAACACGGTGCGAGTTGGAACAAAAAAAAATGTCTCTGTGTTTCAGATTGCTGCTGTGGAGCCACGGTTCACTGCCAAGGACCTGTTTGAATGCCTGTCTCAACGAGAGTACAGGTTAGTTTACGTTGGGTTTCAATGTGGGTGTAAACACACAGAGCATGGTGTGATCCCAAATCAGTCGTTTCCTGTCTTTAAAGTGGCTGTGTAAATCGTTTTAAGTGTCGCTCTTGACTGTGGATTCATTGCTGTGAGGCTGTTGCAGGATATTGCTTCAGCTGGAGAGGTGAGCCTTCTGTTTTCAGTGCATCAGTGGTCATGCAGGTGTCTGTTGCCTCCGATGGACTGCTGTCCAGTGTCCATTTTCACTGGGACATTGCATCACAGTCCTTTCCAAGATCCAGCAGTCAGTTCCACTGAGTGCTAGCCTCATGCCTGCAATTTTTAACAAATACACACCATTGTTAAAAACGGAGGAATATTATATAACTAAATTCTTAATGAAGTTAAATGTTTTTTATATTTGAATTTCTACAAGGCCAAAGTTGGCCTCTCGTGAGCCGGCTTTTTGTTCAAATTTTTCATCCCACCTTAAATGGAGTACCAGTTACATTTTGGAACGTGTACAAGTGCCTGAATGTAACTGCTGCACTATTTAAGGTGGAGCAGAAAATTCGAATAAGAAACCTACTTTAACTTTGTAGAATTCTCAAGTCATTTGCCTCATTTGTGCGTCCCATACCCGTGCTTGTGGAGACAGTGTTGGATTTTGAAATACAGAGTCAATTACACTGTCAGTAGAAGCTGGTCCACAGCTATTTTTGCTCAAAGGCCCTGACCGCAGCGTCGTCTGATGCAACTGAGTTAGGCAGTTTCTCAGGTGGTACGAGGGAAAACAAAAGCACAACAGTCACTTTGGTGGCTCTGTTCCGCACTAAGTCTAACCCCAAACAACCAGCCTTTCCTTTATGTCCGCTGCCTCGCAAGCAACGGAAGAGACTAGACAGTGGGAGGTGATGCATTTTATTTTTATTTTAAAAGTGACTGAAACATCCCTGAATCTGCCACTCATCTAAACGGGCTAACGTTAGCATAGTTTGCACAATATTTTTCATGTATATATCTGCTGATGCTGATACATAAGCTTAATACAGAACGTAGAACATCTGTCTGGGTTAGCATTACAGAGAAATATAATAATTTCTGTAGCTTAACAAATACAGCAAAATAAATAAAAAGCAGACATTTTAGCACAGTAGCCCGGCATCGCCTAATCGTTCTGATTTTCTGGTGTACAATAAATAAATTGTTAAAAATTGGTTTGAAATAATGTGTTGTTGCAATAGTAACCCTGCTCAGTACGAGAGGAACCGCAGGTTCAGACATTTGGTGCGTGTGCTTGGCTGAGGAGCCAGTGGTGCGAAGCTACCATCTATGGGATTATGACTGAACGCCTCTAAGTCAGAATCTCACGTAAAAGTAACGATAATGTTGCGCCGCGGATCTTCGGTTGGTCTGGCATAGCCGGGGATCCCTTGCCCCCGGGGGGCCCCGGTGAGCAGAGCCGTCCGTGACCGGGCCCAGGTGCGGACGGAAAAAGCGCTGCGCCCTCTTTGATCTCACACCGCAAGTTTGTGTGGAACCCGGTGCTAAATGACTCGTAAACGACCTGGGGCCAGGGTGTCGTGAGTGGCAGAGCAGCTCCTTTGCTGTGATTCATTGAAAGTCATCCCTCTGTCCAACCTTTTGTCCACTCTAATGTGGGGCTCTGTGCTGTGGCCAGAGTGGGCAAAACCAAAGCCCTCCATTTTGGAGGTCCCGTGGGTCTCCCAGTGGCCGTGGTTCGCCTAGGTGGCAGCTCCAGGGGGGTTTGTGACCCAAGCTGCAAGGCCGACCAGATGGCACTATGGTCGGCCACAGGCTTTAGCTAAGCCCTGTATGGATGAAACGCTGCGAAAAAAAAAGTGGTCTACCAGTGGCCGGAGTAACACTTGGAAAAATCAGCTAAGTTTTTCTGGGTTCCTAGTGGTCAGTAAAAATGTTAAAAATTTGTCGACCAGTGGTCTACCAGTGGGCATCAGTTTCAGAGTTTTTCTGGTCTCCCAGTGGCCTGGGAATGAATATCTGTCTGGTGCAGACTTTATTGTATATTATTTTTTTTTAAGGACTTGTCTTTACCAACGTGGCATTTAACAGTCCTCTACAGTATCTTGATACCACCAATGAGAATGTACATTCAGATTTAGAGAAAAAGGCCGCTAGTGCAGGAAGGAGTACTTGGTGAATGTTTGATTAGTTTAATGAACTTGTTTTCTCTACACAAGTCTGGTCCTGTGCCCAGTCAGGCCTGAGCTAGGTGTTCTTTAACTGAGCTGTGCTGTCCGGTTCTAGCTGGCTTGGTAAGCGCTCTTTTTACCCAGTACCAAAACACTAGCTCTGCATGGGGTCTAACCCAGTTCTGCTGTTTATTAGGCTTTCATCACAACATAGCATAGTGTAATATAATGGAAAAATCTAAATGCTACTGTTTGATATTTGACCATTTGGTCAAGTAGTCTTTTCAAGGACAGACAAAAGGCTAACTGGCTTAGGTCAATCATTGCACAGCTAATGCGTACCACACACATGCAAATACTTTATTTGAACACGTTGGGAAAACAATAAACATGAAATACGGCTATTTTGAGCAGAATAAAGTAAATAACACAGACTAATTCTCATGCACTGTGTTTGGATCCACACTTGCTGGCAGACGAACTGTTACAACAAACTTGCCTTATGCTTTAAGCACCTGGCTGATATTTAACACCACAAAAGACACACACAGTAGTGCTAATGTTTCCTCCTCTGTAATAATCCACCTGATTATAGCCTGTTACATAACCCATTGTTCACTTTGAGCGCTGAGGTTATTCCTTTGTGAATCTTTGATTCAGTTCTGAAGGTGTACAGTATAACCAAAGGCAATGTAATACCCCTGGAGTGCAAGGTCATGTGGCATTTCAGGCTTATGCTTTGCCACACTACAAGACAAAGCAAGTTGATTCATATAGTGCATTTCATACACAAAGACAATCCATTTTGTAAATGTGCTTTACATAAATAAAAGCAAAAAGGAAAATCAAAAGGAAAAATAAAGGCAAAGTGCATAGAGATGAAAAACAAAAAACAATTAAAGTGCTAAAAATATACGAAGTGCAGTAGCTTAAAGAAATAAAACAGATAATATTGACCATATCTGGAGCCTCATATTCAGAATCTAATTCAAGGTTAAATAAAATAAATGAAATGAGTGGAGGCTTTATCTGCTTAATACAGAGGTATTATGCCTTTATGCCTAACATAAGAAGCAGGGGCAATTCATCGGTTCAATTAGTCAAATAATTGAATAAAATTCAATAAATTAACCATTCTCAGAAGTAATGATTAGTAGCACTAATCTGTAGTATGTACTGTGTGCAGCTATCTGTGTTACTTTCAGAAAATCATCACATGGATTTTGTCCTCTCTCCAGTGAGAGCTGCAGGTATGTTAATAGAAGGCTGAGAGCTCAGAGGGTGATTAGCGGAGCCAGCATGTGGTTAAATTTGTCCCTGTGAGCAGCTCCGTTCAGTGTAAGATGAACTGCACAGTCATTATTATTAGTATTAGTATTATGCTGTCAGTGAGTGCTGTTGGAGGTTGAGGTGTTCAGAAAGCTTTGTCCTGAACTCGTTAGCTTGTCATGATGTTGATGAAGTATCAGTTGCAGAAGCCTATTACATTTTTGTTTGTTTATGTTTTCCTGGCAAATTCTCCACATACATAGTTGCACTGTTTTTTCAGATTTGGTCACTTCAGAGAGTAATTGAGTTTGGATGTTGAGGGTATTCATGATGCTTGATGTATTAGTGGTGTCTGTGTGTGTGCATTATGGCAGGATTCTGAGTGGTCTATGGTTGCCATGGTAGCAGAGTGGTCAGATGGGGTAACGGCCGGGTTGGTCTAATGGAGTGCTTTTTGGAGGATCTCATCTAAAGCAGCCACTCTGCATCCTCTATAGGGGCTGCATGATATGAGAAGCAATAAATTATTAATAATATAGTGGGCCTCTGACTGAATGTGATGCAAGTACAGATTTTCCTTTTCTTGTTGCGTAAATAGAAATATAACTAACCTTTCCTTTAAGCAAATAGCAAAAGAGCGTACAAAATTACAACACACACCATTGTGCAAAATAAAAGTAATGAAATACTAATAGCTGCTGACATTAGAGCTGCAAGCACATTTTGTGCACCGTAAGGTTGAACATGGCCGCACTGCTGCTAATGATGCCCCTTTGTGGAGTTTGTAGCCTGAGAAACATGAGTGAGTTCCATGAGTTGACTCTTGGATATGTCTCTAGTTTGTGAACTGGTTTGAATGCTGCACATTCATAAATATACATAATTTGTCTGGGGAGCGTGTAAATGTCCTTTCCAATTGCCACTAAACACATTTATTAAAATGTAATATATTTTTCTGGGAAAATTATGAAAAACAACACATTTGCACATGTAGGACACACTTTTGTTCAGAGAGAGCTAACAATGGTCGTCTTGCTCAATGGTTGTGAGACATGTTTGCGTAATGCATGCGGATGTTGTAGTGAGAGAACATTGATGAAAGAAAACGTGAAAATTATATAACAATAAATCTGAGCTGGAGGTGGGCGATATGGCAATAATGTAATATCACAATATTTAAGGAAGTTTTCACAATACATGGTATGTCTCGCTATATACATATTCCAACTTGTGATACATTTTTAAAAAAGTAATGCAGCAATTAAAAAAATACTATCAAAAAACAATTAAATTGTTAATCGAATTAAATTAATTGAATTCAATTAATTGTATTCAACATTTCACATACCGCACTACGCTAAATCTAGTTGAACAGGACTAATTATGCTCACTTGTCAGTCAAACATGTAGTTGGGAAGTGTTCTAAAGTATTGATGATATCTACAATACCGATAACGATACTGATCACGATAATGATAAATATTGTCATATTGCCAAGCTCTAAGCTGAGGGTTACACTGCTATATTACAGAATATTGCATGACATTACAAATAACATTACACTCTAGATTTATGTCAGAGTGTCTCCTTAACTTTAAAAAGGTTTTAATTATAGTTAGGCCACATTCGAATTCTTGTAAGCAAGTATGATTATTATCAGGACTCAAGACTTTTAATTCTAGCATAGCTAGAACAGCAGCATTCTTCTTATGACATGTAATGAACTGAAAAAGCACACAGAAATGTATAGTTTCATTTCTACTGAATGACACTGTAGAGGAGCATATTGGCTGTCCTTGTGTTACTGTGCACAGGTTGAGACCTTATAACTCGGTGACATGATGAGTGATGAAACCAGTAACACCTACTCACTCCGAAGACGTCTTCTTTCTTCTTGCAGTGACACAGGTCGACAGCTTGGATTGCTCTCGCACAGCTCAGTGACACTGGCAGAGCTTCAAGATCCTGTACTCTACAGGCTGTCAGAGTGGCAACATACCTGCTGAGATCACTAGCTCTTAGACTGTTTTACTGGCCGAAAAGAAAGCACAGTGTCGTGAAAAAGTAGTAATTCCTGCAATTTTGTCACATTAAGTGGTTTCAGACACTCATTCAAAATGCAATACAGGACAAGGAGAACACGAGGAAACACGAAAGTTTGTAAATGATTTCATTTGTTAAAGAAAAAGTTTTGCAACTTTGCAGCCATATGAAACAAATAAACACCGGTTGTGACATTAAATTCTTCCCATAACTGGAGATCAGTCTTTGGAGGAATTTCGGCCTGCTCTTCACTGGAGAGCTTTCAAGCATGAACTGCCCCTTTAAGACCCTGTCACATTTCAGGTGGTGTTCACAGGATTTTGACTAGGCCACTCCAAAATCTCAATTTTGTTTCTTTGGAGCCTTTTAATGTGGACTTCACATTGTTGTCTTGCTGTATAACCCAGTTGCACTTGAGCTTCAGATCATGGACTGATGATTGGACATTCCCCTGCAGGATTCATGGTTCCATCAATTATGGCAGGTCACCCAGGCCCTAGCACAGTTTAGATCATACCATGCATTCAGATGTGCAGAAGTAAGTTATTTTCACTTATTTTCTCGTGATTTGACAAGAGGTGCACAAACCTTTGCATACTACTGAATATTTCAGTATATAGTATTTCCCATTTTCCCAAGGCAAGTTCTAAAGAAACATTCCATGAAATTAGATCATATAATACCTTCATTCCTGTTGCATATGACCCTTGAGAGTGACAGCACTGGTTTATGAGCTCCTTGTAGTATTTATCTTTCCCCTTTGCTCTCAGGCACCTTGCCTCTGTGGTTTATGATGTGTATACGTGATCTTCTCATTGTCTCCTCCATGCACGGTCAGTCAGCTAGCCCTGTTTCAGCCTGCCCTTATTTTCAGCCGTGCACAACATTGCATAAACAGGCATTCAGAGAAGAGGAAACCAGAGAGGAGAGGCAGAGAGGGTGGGCATTGGGGGTGGATGTGCATATGAATTCCTTTTTTTTTTGGTTATGTAACATGTTCAACAGTGAACAAAAGCAGTGGAGGCTATAAACAAACAAGCAGCAACAGGTTGGGAGGGAGGAATCAGGGGATACAAAGCACAAGTGGGGCCTTATCCACAGTGTCTTTGAGTCCTTTTTAACAAGAGGAACTGGTCTACAGGTCTAAGACTACATTAGGAGAGGAAAGCAGTTTGTAATACTTCGGCTTATCAGTGCTTTTGTTTAATTTTTAGTAAACACCATTTTCCTTTTGGATAGATTACATTCTAGATGTTTTGATTTGGAAAAAAAGAAAAATATACTGAATATGAATATTTGAGCAAAAATAAAATAAATAAATAAATTTAACTTATTTTCCAAACGTAGGTCTTTGCTTTGTAAGACTTACCTGTACAGAACATTTGTGAAAATTCTGTCCATAAAAAATAAACACTTTGATCTCTTAGTGCCACTAAAACTTGCTGCTTTTTCTATGTTGCTTTTGTTCAGATGTGTCAGAATTCCCATATACATAGTGATTGCCAACTGGGTTTTAGTTCTTTACATTTTCTAGCAATTATTCAGGAGCATTCATCCAGGAGCTGTGCTGTTCTGTCTACTGCAGACACTTTAATGATTTTCCACAGACTTTGTGCAGACGTTTCACTGTGCTTTGGCCCTCAGCCACTTCCTGCGTACGTGTGATCTTCTTCCTGTTTGTAGCTTGCAGTGTGGAGTGGAAGTCATCGGCAAGTCATGATTGTGTGGGAAGTGCCGCTGTAGAGAGCTTGGGGAAACGGTCTATGTCTGTTCAGCTGGACTCAGATAACATCAGGAATGCTTTGTGATGTACCTTCTGTCTGAAAAATCTTTAATGTCCTACTGTACAACACTAATCTCCAAAAGAATGATAAATATGAGGCCATTCTGTGTAGCCTACTGCTCTTGCTTGTGCAAGCATAGGTGGTGAACATAGTTACAGGGAATTCTCAGTATTATTGAATTAATTTGACTCTGAAAGTTACCGACATCTGTCAAGCTTAAATGCATATGTTCAGAGTGACCTGACTGGAAGTTCAGCAGGATATTCTAAAATCTACATTTTTACAAATGACACCTCGAAAAAATGAATCTGAATTATGCATTGTTTTTGTTTTGTTTTTTTTTCTCCATCTGTGTTGTGCTCACTTACCATTTTTGGCTGAGAGGTTGGTCTGGGGAGTCACTGGTGGGTCCAGCATCCATCTGATGCATTTCTTTGTGTGTATACTCAGGTTCAAACATCTGTGGTTGAGGCTCTTTTGTAGAAAATGTCCTCAAATTTGTAATTGGACATTGTATTGATGATCTGAGCACACTCCCGTAGCTCCTCTACCTACAGTGTGTCTGTTGTAAATTCGTCTTGTTACCAAATTGTGCTCAGGAAAGAAGGGATTCCAGGTATGCTAAATGGTTGCTCCTTCTATTAACTACATGGAGAGATTTTTTCTTTTCTTGAAGTTTGTAGTAATACTGCATTCTAAATCACATTGACTTGTCTGCGAAACCTGAATAAAGATCTGGGTGCAGTTTATGAGGGTTGAGACGTTTTGGGCATGCATTTACAGAAATTATTTGGGTGACTTCCAGTCTTTGTGAGCAATGTAAGCCTAGATGCTCCAGTTCTAAACTAAAAAAGCATAATTTGGACACCAAGCATGTGTTTGCTCATCGACTGCACTTGGGGTAAGTTAGTTTTTTAGTTAGTTCGTTTTTTTTTTTCTTTCACTGGATGCCCCTGGACTTCCACAGTGAGGCATTGAGTGTCCATGTCTTGCAGAAAAATCAACACCCAACTTATTCCAAGGCCACAATTAACTGCAAAAGTGTTGACAATTTATCACTATAAGAAATTCATAATTATGCTGCAAGATTTTGGTGCAGGTGTAGCAGCAGCATTCAAACACAGTAGGCGTTCAACTTGTCTGCCTCACACTGTTTGTCATAAAATTGCAACACAGATTGGCCAAAATTAAAATAACACTTTTGCCAATTGCTGACTGCTGTTTGGAGCAAAAATAGGCCAATTCCAATCATGCACCCCTAGTGTGAAATGTGCACACCTAATAAGCTCTTGGTGACATGTTTAATGACTGTATGATGGAGTTATCAAAATGTCCACGTCTGTAGACATCTTAATATCCTTAGAAAGCCTAAATTCTTAACAGTTGCAGGTTAAACGTCCAGTGTTCTGCTTCCCTTACATTTGTGTACTTGTTCATTCTAGGGAAAAGCTGTGTGTAGGAGGAGCCCAGCTGATGGAGCTAAAAGCAAATCTGGATCGCTGTGCAGCTACTGTGTGTGGTCAGAGTGAAAGCAGAACCTGAAGCTGGTAATGAAACACAACCAAGCTACACTGACAGCCTGTTCACATCCACACTACAGCGGGGCAGCTGAGTGGTTCAGTATTCAGATGGACTGAAGAACGTTGTTTACATGTGTGACTACCACCAAAACCTCATCATCTTACTGCACCTCCGCTTTTATACCAGGCTCATCACAGTCAGAACACTAGGAAGTTGTAGCAGTTGTGGAAGTTAATCTAGGTTAACCTTTTAATCTGTTCTGTACGGTGCCCAACAAGACCCTATTCATTGTACAATTTAAAACACTTTGCAAACTCATAAACGTGCTGCAAACACAGAACACTTTCACCAACATGACTCCATCAGAGCAACATTTTACAGACGCACTAATAAAGAAAAAACACATGCAACTTCAGAAACACTGCAAAGCCAGTCACAACACAATGGAAGTGAGCCACAACACCACAGAAATGTTTCTGGAAGAAAGGGCTCAAAGGGGATGGAATATCTGTGATGGAAAATCACTGACAGAAGTAGATAAGACCGCTGACACATCCCAAGTTCATAGTTAACTTGGCTGGCATAGCTGTACTGTTCTCTAGTATTACTACTTTAACTTTTACAGCTAATTCCCATTACAATACAGTGATTGTAGTGATATGCTCAAATAAAAGTTGACTTACTTTTACCAGATGTTTGTGCTGCATAGAATTTAGAAGTCTGGATGGCTACATCCTCTTTAAGTGTCCTCTGGAAACATCTCTGTTGTGTTGTGACAGACTTATAAGCATTTCTGAAGTTGCATGTGTTTTCTTTGTTTGCAGTGCATTTATGTAATGTAGCATCGGTGTTGTCAATTTGATGAAAGTGGTTTCTGAGTTTGTGGAGTGTCTACGACTTTACAGCGCATTTGTAAAATGCATTGCCCGTGTTGTCATTTTAATGAAAGTGTTTTCTGCGTTTGCAGCTCGTTTCTTATTTGCAGTTTGTTGGGTCTTTTCTGCCACCGTAGTTCTGAGACCAGCTTTACCTTTTCTACTTGGTTTTCTCTGTGAGAAGCTGGATCTTGCGAAAGTCGGGAGAGGCCATGAGCTGTTGCTAGAATTTTCTGGATTGTTATCTTGAGATAACAAGTTAATTATCTTGTTTTGTTATATTGAGATCACAAGATAATTCACTCGTTATCTCAAGATAAAACTCCAGAAAATTATAACTACCTCGTGGCCTCTCCGGACTTCCATAGGATTTAAATTCGTGTTCTCATTTACAACCTGTTTTAGAGCCAGTTTAATTTTTTACTTTAACAAATTACAGATGCACTTGGTTTTGTGCAAAAGTTTGGGTACCCCAGTCAAATTATGTTTGTTGATTTTCTAAGCAAAAATAAGTTAACTCATCCTCTATGGAGAGTGCACTTCTGCACATTTTATTGCACAATTACTCTTTATTTGCTGAATTTAACATATTGGAAACATAAAATGTAGCCTCTGCAAAAGTTATAGCACATTTTGCATTTTGTATTTTATTCTAATAAATTCTAAATGTGCAGAAAAATGTTTCTATATAATTATTTGTTATTTTCACTTAAAACATGTAATTTGACAGGGGGTGTTCAAACTTGTCGTACATATGACTGTACATTTACTTATTTTAATACTGAATAGTATTGCACAGACTCTCTGTTGTGAATGGGAGATATTACCATGGTTATCTACAATGTAAATACGTTCTCAGTCGGTCTGAGGATGGAAGAGCTACCTCATTAGGAGATGCTGCATACAGCTCTAAGGAAAGGTTTCACCAAAAAGTGCTAGCTTTGCTAATAATGAACAAAAGCTAGAAAGGACCAGTTAGCATACTGTTTCCCACTTTTATGAAGTGCTATTCATGTTTAAACTCCTTCATATGCACTGCAGTGTTGAATGTGTCTCAGTGATTTGAAGGACTTCTGTGTTCGTTCCTGGTCAGTGCTTCTGTCCTCACAGCTGGTCAGAAAGACTGCTGCTTCTGCTTTGCTCAGTTTAAATTGTTGCCTTTAAGACTGGATTGTTCAAAACCACTGGAGCCGTTGGAGGCTTTGGATGTGTTCATGCATTCCATTTGAGTCAAGATGCCTTGCAGATTTGCTCATCTTCAAGCAGTGGTTTTAGATCAGACGTCTTTTGACTTTGCTTTGAGATCAGTGAGCATCTACAATACTGTGCAAAAGTCTTAGGCTGGCTTTACACGATGAAACTTCCATGTAGCTTTAGTTGCCTGAAACCTACATTAAGCTAAATTGCAGTTTGCATAATGTAAAGAGTGCTGCAAAACTGTAGCCACAACAGTTGCAGACATCTCAACTTCAGTTTCATGAAACAGCCAATCAAAACACTAGTAACACATCACATGTTCAACATACTGATATCAAACCACTGATTTCACTGGATCAGTGGACAAGTAAATAAAACAGAAGATGGTTTATTGGGCTGTTAAAAAAGGGACCACCAAACTTTTATATTACTACAGAAGTGGAGACGGAGATGTGGACTGTGATAAACTTGTGATTCTAGGACAGAATGAGCAAGACATCAAGTTGGCTGTACTTATAATATCTACTTAAACATTCTTTTTCAAAGGCTTAACATAAAAACAACAGATAACTAATATATATTGTAAAGAACTATAGACAGAAAAATGACAGATATAGAAAAAAGAACACCAATGGCAGCAGGAAAAACATGCCAATAAAATAAAAATGTTTGAATGGAAGTCTAAGTTAGTATAAATAATATGAGTAAATGCATGTGTTGTGTGCAACTTTCATAGTTTTTAATTGATTTGTGTAACTGTCAAATTGCACAGAAATTGTTGCATGCAACTCACAACATGCAGCTATTTGCATGAAAGTTTCACCGTGTAAAACCATCTGAGAAAATGATATGTACAGATATTTATCTAGACAGAAGGCATTTGTTTGTTAAATAAACACTATCATTAGAATAAATACAAAAACAAATAAACAATACATAGTGATTTGATGTGTAGGAGCGTGTTAGCTTAACTATTTCCAAACCTCTCCTCAAGAAAGCCCTGCAAACAGTTACTATCCAATACCTGCTTCAGCTAATCAGTGCTTTATTGAATTAAACCGGGTGCTGCTGATGGAATTTAACAAATCCATGCAGGGACTGAAGTGCAGTGAGAAGTCAGGACCCAAACCTATATTCTTCTAACTGTATTGTTCTTGCCAAAATATTAATATTAAAATTTTTTTAGTTGTTTTATTGTATTTGTTTATTTTTATTTGTTTAAATGTATTTTTACTGCCAAAAACACACTGCTAAGATAGCACTTTACCTGAACCTTGCTACATAACATTGCCATAAACATGGTGGTGTCACGTCATTACAGATTATGTCCATGCCTTGCTAGCATTACCGGTAATTGTCATGACATATGGCATAACATTTAATGTCATGATGGGTAACTAGAATAGAAATTTAGTATGAGACATTTAGGCGAATAGAAAACGAGAGGGCGTGTGTGACATCATGGCTGCCATTCAATCACAGGAGTGCCATAGATCATCACAGCCATTGTGTTATTCATGATAACACACACCCTTGAGTATTCAGATTCATTTATACAATGTTTTCACAAAATAGATTTAAAAAGTACAGCAGAGAACTCCAAATATTATACCAAATGTGCTTTAATGGCAGCTGTTCCTTCCTCCAAAAAATGTAGCATCCTTTTGCATTACGGACAGTGCAGTAAAGTGGGTTTTGTGTTGGACATTCGCTGGATATTCTACAGTGTCTATTTGATTTTTCCTGGAATAAACATTCAAAAAGGAGAAAACTACATTTTCTCACTCCTGTAAAACAGAACAAACTACAACCAAACATATTTCTGAATGTATGTCATTAATTTTCTGATGTTTCATAAATGCAGATTACTGATGCTTTAGTCCTTATAGGACCGTCTAAACAGTGCAAAACAAATTTCCCATCTATTTAGCTAAAAGACTAAAATCACATCAAAATAAAAAGACAGCATCACTAATCAAGAGAGCAGCTTCCCTTACCTGGGATTTGTAATACGCTGAAAGGAAGCCACTCTCTTTACTGCAACTGATTTGATGTAATTTTGCCTTCTTTTAGCTAAACTAAAAACTTGTCTGTGTTATGCACTTTGTAGACAGTTCCTTAATGACTAGCATGTCGGTCATCTGAATTTCTGAAACATTACCTACATAACAACAGATATTTTAGAAATATTTGACTGTAGTTTCATGAAAATATAGGTTTTATCATTTTTGAACACGAAATCCATGAGGAATTGAGAAGAGAATGTCTAATATCCAACGAAATGTCCAAGTACAAAACCAACTTTTACTGTGCTATCAGAGATAGAGCCTAAAAATGTTGCAGTCTCAGGTTTAGCTCAGCTTTTTCTAGAATTCAGTACTTGCCAGGTTAACCTAAACGTTGTTTTGTTCCAGTCAGTCTGTAAATAGAACAATTCTCATCCATATATATTATATAAAAGCTGTCATGACATCTAATATAGCGCCTGTCATGATAATTAACGGTAAAGGTAACATGGCACTTAGACCAACTGGCCACTTCATTAAGTACACCTACCTTGTGTCTGCACACTTTGTCCATTTTATCAGCTCCACTTACCATATCAGTGCACTTTGTAGTTCTACAATTACAGACTGTAGTCCATCTGTTTCTCTGCATACTTTGTTAGCCCCCTTTTACCCTGTTCCTCAATGGTCAGGACCACCACAGAGCAGGTATTATTTGGGTGGTGGATCATGGTGACGTGTTAGTGTGTGTTGTGCTGGTCTGAGTGAATCAGACACAGCAGTGCTGTTGGAGTTTTTAAACACTGTGCCCACTCACTGTCCACTCTATTAGACACATCTACCACGTTGGTCCACTTTGTAGATGTAAAGTCAGAGACAAGTAGCTCATCTGTTTCTGCACAATTTGTGTGGGTCATACTGTAGTCCAGGTGTGGTCCTGGAGGGCCCGTGTTCAGCACAGTTTGGTAGTTTCCCTACTCAAACACACCCACTAAACCTGGCAATTAACAGAGAAGTGTAATCAGGGGTGTCTGAGTAGGTAAATCACCAGACTGTGCTGGACACCGGCCCTCCAGGACTGGAGTCATGCACCCCTGGTTGGTGGACAATTCTCAGTCCAGCAGTGACGCTGAGGTGTAAAACTCCAGCAGCACTGCTGTGTCCGATCCACTTGTACCAGTGCAACACACACTAACATACCACCGCCACATCAGTGTCACTGCAGTGCTTAAAATGATCCACTGCCCTAATTAATACCTGCTCTGTGGTGGTCCTGTTGGGGTCCTGACCACTGAAAAACGGTAAAAGAGGGCTAACAAAGTACGCAAAGAAACAGATGGACTGCAGTCTGTAATTGAAGAACTACAAAGTGTGCTTACATGGTAAATGGAGATGATTAAATGGAGTGTAGAAACAAGGAGGTTTACTTAATGAAGTGGCCTGTCGGTGTGCATTACTGAACATAATCTGTCATGATGACTCATCACAGCATATTACATTTGCCTTGGCATGTTTATGTCAATGTTATGTAGCAGGGTTAAATGGTTATCCTAAGTCTTTTGCACAGCACTGAATACGAGCAAAGTCATTATCTCTGTGCTTTCTTCCAGTCTCCAAAACCTCAGATGGTGAGCCTAAAAAATGTATTGTGTCCAAATCACAAAGCAGAGAATCAAATTGAGGCATTACCTCATTCTGCACTGACCCCCCCTCAGATGACATCATTGAAAGGGATGATGATATAATGATGCCCACGAGGGCTGTTTATTTCAGGGATGTCAATAACTTATATGCAGTTCTCTTACTCTGGTGCCAGTAAAGATGACCAGCTTGTAGTCAGACATGAAACAGTCGCCCGTACAGTCGTATGCAAAAGTTTGAACACCCCCAGTCAAATTACATGTTTTGTTGAAGTAAAAATAAGTTAACATATCTTCTATAGGGAGCAAATGTAATAATTGCACAATTTAATTAATGCACAATTTCTATTTGCTGAAAATTGTATCAGAACTTGTGCACCAGCCACATTTTCATGTTTATTTTTCCCCAATGTGTTAAATTCAGCAAGTAAACAGTAACTATGCATTTAAACGTGCAGAAGTTTGTTCTCTGTAGAGGATCTGTTAACTTATTTTCACTTAGAAAATCAACAAAACATGCCATTTGGCCAGGTGTTCCCAAACTTTTGCATACCACTATATATACACAAGGATTCTGGAAAACTGCTCAGTGGAATTTTGTACAAAATAAAAGCTATGCAGTCATTTTTTTATTTTTTATTTTAGTTTTTTAAATACTGTGCATATATTTTGTATTTGTTTAAAATGGGTTTCAGATAATATATTTCTTTTTGTATATTTGCTTCAAATGAAAACTTGCTGACATATCTCAAGTGTCGTCTCCTGTCCTTTGCTGTCTAAGGATGCTGGCTTGGGCTCCTTGCCCGAGACTGAGGCAGAGACAGTTCTGCCAGTTCTGAAAGGAGCAGGAGAGGTGACGATAGCGCCTGAAGATTATACCTACTCTCATTAACACAGGCAAGATAAAGTTGCTTGCCTCTGACGTAACAGTACGATGAGGTCAGCGCAGGATTTAGCCTGAACTGCTTCTGACTCTTCGCACACTGTGCTCCTGTCAGAGGACATTGATGGGCAGCCTCAGTGTGAGTGTAAGAGGAGTTAGGACTCAAGGAACACACGCTATAAAATATCTTCCACCACAAGTAACCGTTTCTCAACCATTGTGTTTTGAAGGAGGTGCTGGTCAGTCTGCTTTCCTGCTAGGGTTGGGTACATGAATTTTCAGGGGAGCCGCCTAGGGCCCCCATGAGTCAGGAGCCCCATGAAAATACAAATTAGATATACTGTACGTGTTGTGGTTAAATATCCTATTCCAAATATATGTATTTGACTGGTATGAACAAGTGATGTGCTAAGTGATGATCTACACTGTGGCATTTGGCCAAAATCTAGTGGGCAGACATCTCCAGAAATGGCCTTCTAATTCCTTTTGAACCTCATGACCTGCCCCTGTGGCCTACTTCCTGTCTGTCACTGCTGCTTACAGAGGGTTAATACTACTAAATGGCTGGAATGCAGGAGGAGGGGTTTGGACAGGAACTGGGCATCTGACAAATATCAGTGGAGGGAAGTGTGACCTTACTGACATATAGAGGGAAGGGAAGTTCTGATTATCTCTTTTGTTCCAAAACACATTACAGATAACATTTAGGAATGTGCTATTTTGTCCTGATATACATATTGGGGGTGGCCTCTACAAATACAAGAAATATCAGGGCTATATATTATGATTAAAATCACCTTTATTAGTGATAATGCAACATGGGTTCCATTATGAGTCAGCTGTTATTCTTTCCAAAATCTTGTTATATATGACATTTTGGATTCTGAAATCAGGCATCCGGTAATAGACAAGTTATCTGCCTGAAGAGTTCAGCGCTTCATTGTAACTTCATTCTTGACAGCTTTCTCAGAAATTATGGAATCATCTACAGCTCTGTTCATCATGACAGAAACATCCAAAATGGCTGTTTTATTTATAAAATCCATTTCATTACTTGAAACCTATGAAGCCGTACTAACACTAGCATCACATTACTATCAATCATTTAATACATGTATCTGCATTATATGATTGAAAAGACTACTGTTGCTTTCCACCGATTGAATTTTAGATCAGAACATTGTAGCTCATTCTCATTCTTTGTGAGTTAGCCCTTTTCTAGCACCTTCTCTCAGTGGAAAATATGACTCTGGCCTTGTCCATTCATCTTGTCTACTGATCTCGTCTACCCACACCCCCCTTTGCAAGATAAGCCGTACCTACACAGGCCAGATTAGAGTAATCCAACCAGAATTAGACATAGACGCTAGAGTCCCTGTTAAAATGTCCAAGAGCTTGTAAACCACATAGATTTACTAGATTTCAGAGAGTTCCAGTCTGTTCCAATTATTTTATATTATGACACCACCAACCCACCTGCTGGTAATAATGGCATTCACAATTATCAAGGCCATACTGACTAAAGTTTTTTCCCCCTGAAGTTGTTGGAAGTATTGAAAAAAACAATACTGCATGGATTCACAGGTTGAAATGATTTATTAGTTAAGAAATATCAGTTTGTAATAAATGGGATACAGAATTTCACCCCCTATTTTGTCTACTGTGAAAACAAAGCCTTGGAGAACTGTTTTCCTTTTGAAATTCTTAACACAAGAAAGATTAAAAAAGGTGTTCAGAAAAAAAAACAAAAACAACATATCAACGATGAGTTAGTCAAAATTGCAGTAACAAAATATTCTAGTGAGCAGGAACATTGAAACATGGTCAAGAAAGTGTGTACGCATTCATGTATACACTTGTGTAACTAAACTGGCACCGATTAAAGTTCATAACTCGAGTTATCTGCATCTCCTAGCTCATCTATCTAGCTATAAGTTAATCAGCAGTGTATCAAAAATATAAAAAAGGCCATCATTAAAGATTGGTAAAGCAATCCCACATAATGGGTAATGCTAAAAGGAAAGCTATGTGTGATCATCTTTTGTTGAATAAGGCTTTTATATAACCACAGAGCATCAATACGTGAGCTAATATTACAAAATCCAAAGAAAATAAAATCTAATTCAACTGAATTACCTCTTTAAATCAATTCAACCAATTAATCCTGCTGACGAACAATGCCAACTTGGTTACTGCCACTCACGGTGGTCAGTAACTCCATTTATTTTCGTTGCTGGAAATCCCAAACACCAAAAATCCAAACCTTTTCAGCTCAAAAGAAAAAAAGTACACTCAATGTGCAATAAAGGTTGGCATTCTTTGTAAATTAAAGCAAAAACATGTTGAAAAGAAATAACACAATAATATGTACAACACAAAAAAATATTGTATGCAATATGCAAAAGCTTTAAGTTGCTTTCTGCAACCCCCAATGAACCTGAAACCCTCCCCAGCCCACCCACTTGCAAAGTAAGTAGTCAGTCTTCACTGAAGACTCCCGTGATTCCCTGCCTCCTCCCCTTCCCCATCTTCAAGCCCAACCCCAACCCGCTCACATACACATCACGAAGCACGATTACGTCACTAAGCCTGTTAGTTTGAGACAGTTTACACCCAACTCTCCCCTCCCCTGCTACCCCCACCATGCCCCCCAACCCTGTGCTCAGGCTCCCACCAGTACTTAGGTGCTGGTGAAAGCCTCAGCGCAGGCGCTCCACTCGTCCAGCTCCGGGTCGTACGCTTCCATGGTGTTGAGGAAGTCGTTGCCGTCAAAGCCACCCACAGCGAAGATCAGGTCGCCCAGCACGGCCACGCCTGCGTTGCTACGCGCCGAGTTCATGCTCCCCAGCATCCTCCACTCATTCCGGGCAGGGTCATAAACCTCCACGCAGCTCAAGGCATGGGAGCCATCAAATCCACCCACCACAAACAGCTTCCCTGTGAGGTAACGCGAGAAGAAACTGAGAACCTCTTCCCACTTGCACATGTCTTGGTCTGGCTTACTCTTTCATTTATATTCCAACTTCTGTTAATGCTAACTTATGTGTTCCCAAAGACTGGACTGAGAACCTCTGTGCTGGAACCAGAATTAAATAGCAGTTTTAATTGTTCCATTTGGTGTTTTGGGCCAGACTTTCAAAAACAGTCCCTGTCTATTCTGAACAACTTTCCCCTGCAAGATCAAACTTACCTGCATAGATTCCGACACCGGCCCCTCTGCGAGCCACGTTCATGGGGGCAGTGAGGGTCCAGGTGTTGTTCTCAGGATTGTAGCGCTCAACACTGTTCAGACAGTTCCATGACTCTGCTCCACCAATCACATACATGAAGCCATCCAACTTGCACACTGCTGCCTGATGCCTCCCTACACAAACAGATGCATACTTATATCATCACTTCTAATATTTATATCACTTTTAAGCCATTGCTGGAATCTACAAGCTAAAATGTCTGCAGTTATACGGGTGTCAGACACTCACTAATGTTTAATGGGGCACAGCTGGTCCACTCCTTGGTGACAGGATCAAAAGCATCACAGTTCTTCAAACCTTTCTGCCCACAAGGGTCTGATCCCCCAACAACATACAGCTTGTTGTTCAGAGAGCAGACACCTAGAACAAGACACAAAGAATGTATATTAAAACCAGCAGTGTTTATTATTTAAAAGCTACAAGAGTGTGATATCCATTCTCAGTTTGCACACCTGCATTGCAGCGATTGGTCCGAAGCTCTGGCACTTGAGTCCACTCATCTGTGCTTGGGTTATACGTCTCCCCACAGCTCAGCTCATCAGAATGGCCATTGGAGCCACCCATTACATAGAGCTGACCCTGGTTGGTTGAGGAATGGGCAATTATCCACAGTGTGATATGGAAAGACTACCAAACTGTAGACAACCCTGTAATTATTACTTCAAGTGGGCATACATACCATGAGAACAGCCATCTGAAAGCGAGCCCGAGGTGTCCTCATTGGGGCAATGAAACTCCAGCTGTCAGTCTTCAGATCGTAACATTCCACAGTCCTTAAGCATTCCTCACGGTTATAACCACCTAAGGAACAATCACAGCCAGAATCAGACGTCTATTCAAGCCAACAGTAGTATAGCACTGCATGAATAACTAACAGGGACATTTGCACATCCTTTGAGAGCTATTTCTTAAAACTTTCCCCCCAGTATCTAACATCTAAAACAAACACCTCCAGCAGAGTTGCTGATCTGGGCTCAAATCCACTGACCTGCTGCAATGAGTCGTCCATTGAGGGCAGCAGTACCCAAGCCAGAGCGAGCATAGTGCATGGGAGCCAACAGCCGTTCAGGTTCCTCGTCCAGAGACTTGGCCTCAAAGCTCAGGCTCTTCTGCAGGCACGGTGTGGCTGAGGGCGAGGCCTGGGGACTGCTCCGCCCATGAAGGAAGATCACACACAGTACGCCGTTCAGCACCGCCAGACACAGGTATGTACTGTCTGTGAGAGAGACAGAACAATGATGAGCCAGTTGGCAGTGTTGAAGAAGCGGCAACAACATGCCTCCCTCCTTCACTCTCCTTAAGGGTTCTGAATTAATGGCCACTCATGACGTAATCGTGGGCTGCTATGGAAAGACATTGTCCATTGTTAAAATGGACATTACTCTTGTCTGCAGTCATAAACCATCAAAAGAACACACAGTAAAGTACCTGATTCCGTTTTTGTTCTCTACTATTTTTTCTTGAGTAGAATTTGGATGGCATTAGTTTAACATGTGAAATTACTGAGATGAGGTAATAGCATATTTCCCACATCTCTCATGACATGAGTCATTTTTATGGCAGAGAGTCTGGTACTTTTCACAAAATAATGTGGCCAAGAACCTCCTACATTGTCAAAAAGAGACTGACTGAAGAGCCAAACAACCACTCTCAGCCTGTTTTGGTGTTAAAGCTTGCTCTTAGACTCATTTTTCATCACGGTGTCTACTACAGGCAGCTGTTTGCTATAGCTGACTAGAAAAAACGCAGTGTGTTCAGACAACACAAAGGCAGACAACATTCTGCAGCAGGACACTTACTGGTGGTCTTCTCAGAGGCGATGTACTTCCACTCCTGCTTGCAAGGCTGTTTGACCGAGCCAGGGGAGAGGCTGCCGGAGGAGCTGCTGCTCAACTGCCTGTGAACGTTCTCGCGTGGGGTCTTCTTCTGTAAAGGCACAGTGCAGCTACAGACACTCGGCCCAAGCACACAATCACACACACCCCAGAATCCCAGACCCCTACACTGGCACAACCCTACGAAGCTAAACTAACCCCCTGGGCTAAATTTAATCACAAAGCTGAACTTACTCTGGATCCAACAGAGAAAGAACATGTGTAGCCTAAATACTAGAAGTGTACACCCAGTTCAGAGCCACACTGTAAGCAGCATTAGAACATACTCAAGGCCACACATACATACATTAGAGCGATCACCTACGCTCTCTTACAAAGAAGCCTGCACCACGAAGCAGCTGCTCTATCCTACTTATTTAACTCCAAACTAAAATACAACACTGGCTACAGTGAGCAGCAGGGCTAACGGAGCAGGACTAACAGGCTTGCGGTCCAGCCTGGGAGGGGCTTGGTGCTGGTTTTGTGTACCTGCACAAACTGAATGTGGTCATCCTCAGCGCCAAACACCTCAGCCTGGCCCTCAAGCAGGCCCCCATCGAGCAGCTTGTGATCGGCCGAGTAGTACAGCATTTGCACCTGCAAGACACACAGCGACACAAGAACCCATGTGGCTGTCTCCATGGCAACAGGGCACCCGGCAACATGGGACAAGGGAGGGGAGAAAGAGTGGAAGGGGGAGGAGGGGGAGACGTCGCAAGCTTGCCGCCGGGTTGCTAGACGCTGGTGAGAAAGCCTCTTTTAAGACTGCAAACACAATGTGGCTTCTGTTCAGGCAGGGTTTGGAAGCAGGATGGCACAAGAAAAAAAAGGGAAAAAAAAAAAAGCAGATCTTCTGTGGGTGCTCCTGAGGCCACCGCTGCAATCAGTACTGCAGATTCAGACTCTCACACACTGTCGGCAGCATCACAAACCAGGAGCTATTTGTTAAGCTTGAAGAGGAAACAAGAGAAAGTGGGTCCGCTATTCGTCATCACCATGGAACAGGCCTTTGGAGCTGCCGGCCATCTTCTTGGCTGAGGAGGTTAGTTAGGCTGAACTAAGATCACATACATTCCAGGGAGACTTAAGCTGTTTTACAGACTGCTTCAACGGCTCCTTCAAGAGTACGCTGTCGGCACAGGGCAAGGACTTCTGCTCAAGCTAAATTTAACAGCCATTTTACAGTCAAATAAATGACAAACACCTTAAACAGCTATAAATAAAAAGAACAAAAAGTACATCCAACCAGAACAGAAGGTATTAAAAAAAATAAAATGGGTGAGGAAACAAAATGGGTGAGCCAAAGGGCCTGAGATGGACTCATCCAAGCAAATTTAAACATTCTCCTCTACCAGTTATGATTTAGTCCAGTGGCCCAATTTATTAAACTTCTGGTAGAGGGACATCCACTCATAAGAATTACTAATAACAGATGGTACAGACATACAGTACTGTGCAAAAGTCATAGACCATTTAATTTATTTCCAGTCAAAACGGGCAATAAATACAAGTTATTCCTTTTTCAGGAGATATTTCTGAGGAGAGTAGATATCAAATGAAAATAAGTGGGTTTAAGAAAATACAACCAACTTCTAAGACTGAACTGAGGTGTGGACAAAAAAGTTTCCTGCAGATTTTTTTGAAAAACTGAAAGCAGGTCTCCGGAAGCTGTAATAAAGGCGAGGTGTGGACACAATAAATAATGAAAAATGTGTTATATTGACTTGAGGTTGAGGTTTCTGTATAATTTTCGATTAAATATACATCTTTTTCTTACTTTCCCTGATGCTGAAGAATTAATAGCTTGCAGTTAATGGCCATTTTGAGTGTAAATTACTTAAACGAAACATGGTCACTTTTTTGCACAGTACTGTTTATTATGTAATAATATTACATAAATAATTATTTATAATGCCTCATTCTCTGATTAATTTTATTACAATTTTTGATATGCAAATAGATCTTGTATTGCTGAAAACCACATTGAGTGGTTCCACAGGCCAATTGTGAATACTCAAATTGGGCTTTTTCTTAAATGGGCATGTTTTGGTAATTTGGAGAGGCTTGAGGCTAGGTTGAATTTGCGTGCTGAAAGCTGTATTTGTGCACATGTGAGTGGGTTGCATGGACAGATGGGAGCTCAGCACTCCTTTGGCTGTGGCTCCTCTGTCTTTTTTTCCTCCTTTCTCTTTTTCTCTGACTCATTACCCTGGTGGCCCCAGTCGTGGCTTCTTCAGTCTGCTCAGAGTCCTGTAGCTGTTTGCTCTAATAAACCTAAAGAGAAACAAATCAACGGGGAGGAAGAGCTGTTAGTGCTAATGTCCATAGCCTACACATACATGCTCACACACACCTGCTCAGGAAAAAGAGAGACATCAGTGTGACAGCAAAAAAAAAAGGCTCTGTCAAGTTTGAAAAGGAGCGGTTGCAGTGATGGTTACTGTACAGGCGGCTTTAGAGTTTCTGCTCACCTGGACTAACCTCTCGGCTTTGCAGAGTGCGCAACAGCCCCACACTGTACCTACTGCAAAATATATACTCTTAAAACCTGGGGGGAGGGGAGTTTGTGGTAAGGGAAAGGAGAGGAACAACAAAAAAATGGAAAACAGATAAAACAAAACCATCCAGCCAACGGGCTGAGTGTGAGCTTGTGTGAATAGACCCGTTGAATTGGTGAATGGAAAAGGGGTGGGGGGGATAGAGGGTAAAAAAGAGAGAGGGGGACAGAAGGAGGAGAGGACGCTCACATAGGAGCGCAGTACTGACCTCCTCCATCAGTCTCTCCAGCGGCTCCCCGTTCTCCCACAAGCTGCGCTGCACCCAGCTGATCACCTTGGAGTACAGCTTCCCGTTACTAGGCAGGGTCAGGTGATCCTCCAGCATCACCTCCAACTGCATACACATCACACATACCACACATTACTACGTATACATTTAATGCATGCGAGGCAATGAGGCATTCATATTGTCATTAGCATAAGTCATTAATAAGGCTACTGAGGTTTTTCTATGATGTTCAGACACATCCTCAAAAAGTATGAAAGGACTTAGAGGTGATCCCTGGGGAACTCGCCTTCAAGCGGGGCAGTTTGAGGAAGTCTTCCTGCTCTGATATTTCCAGAAGATGCTCCTGGATGTAGCAGTCAATCTTGGCTAGAAGACGGGAGTCCCCCATGCTGCTAGCAAAGTTGCGATAGGAGATGGCATTCTGGGAGTCCATCTTAGAGAGCAGGTAGTCTCCACAAATCTAAAAACAACATAACCATAAATAGATCAAGTTATTTACATACCAGCAGACAGGAATTTGCATTAAAAAAAGTTCCTCCCAGCAATGGAGAACCACAACAAGCAGAGGTGTATCAGGTGTGTCAGTGCAAACAACACTCCAAACTTTGCCTCCAGGACTCAAACACTACAATGCTGCGCCGTAATTGTAAAAACCATAATTGGTCATAATTAAAAGTGTCAAGTTACGTCAACACCAAACATTGCATCCTGCTGGAGTTTTAAACAATGTAAACAGAGATGTGTCTTAAAGTCTACCTGCTTCACTCTTTCCATCTTGAGCCTTTTGGCTGCAGAGTAGACCTCCTTAACCAACTCCTTATCTGCCTTCAACCTTAGAGAAAAAAAATGCAAATCCACAGGCAATGAGAAACGGTGAAGTTGAAAAGCTGCACACTGTTACTGATACCTCACCACAGCAACCATGAGAAATAGCCATAAGCCTCTCTATAACAGAGGGATAACCTTCAGTATAACTGAGAAATTTGATAAACGCCTGAGTAAACGTACTGGGCAGTGTAGGCGTAGTTGAGCAGGATCTCCACAGCTTCAGGGTCCAAGTCCTCAAACTTCACATGGGAGATGCCATGAGGCTCCAGGTCACTGTTAAAGATCTCAAACAGGTACGGGCTGCAGCAGGCCAGCACTGCGCGGTGCGCCATCAGCTCATGACCACACACCTGGGGGAGGTCAAAGGACAAAAGGTCACCACCAAGTCAGTCCCATTGCCTACAGCCAAACTGACACATTCAAGTGGATAATAGTTCTCGATATCATTACGCAAACCAGACGCTACAGCTCAGCTTAAAAATGCAAAAAGCAGGTTAGAGGTCCAAGGTACAATTGTGATGTAACCGAGAAGCATGCAGCATTTTAACTGCATACACTGATTCTCTTATTACTTATTCTCTTTTAAAAGACAGAAACACTAATAATTAATTCTTCAGAGATTCAGGATGGCCCCTTTCGTTTTGGATTGTTTAATCAAAGTTGAGCTGGAGGCATGTGTTACTGTACCCACTCTATTAGGAACTGGGACAGATTTCCTTCAGCCTGCCAGACAGTTTTTTTTCTCCCCCTTAGAGAGTTTCATTCACTGGTTAATGGATGCCACTTGGCTTATGGCCACTGATAGTTCAGTAGACTAAATTCCAGGAACGAACACTACTACTTAAATCACCTCTCTTCTCATACCGCCTCACATTTCAGGAGTGACTCATCTGAAACCCTCCGGAGGGAATCAGAATGCAGTTTTCAGTGTTGACCACCTGCAGTATTTAACTAGATAGTCCAAAATGAGCACTTGTGTTTTAGAAATGACAGGCCTGTAGACAAGAGCTCATTCTTATCTTTCTGTCCTGATCTCTCCTACGTGCTCAGGTTGTTTGTCAGTGGGGTTGTCTGACATGCATCAATGTGATGTTATCTGGTTGCGTGACAACAAATTACTTTTCTTGACTAAATAAATAACAAAAAAAAGCAAATTCATGGCTTTTAGGTATCCTTTAGGGCTTCCATAATTTGCTGAATTTTATCACATTGAGGAGAAAAACATGACCTGTACAAAGTTTTCCAATATGTCAAAACTGCACACTAAAATTGACAGAAAAAAAGTCATGTTCAAGACGTGTTCATACATTTGCATACAACTGCATAAACATCTGAACCTGGAAAGGACTCATTATTATTATTACTACTACTAGTATTGTTACCTGAAGTCTGACATCGCAGAACTGGCCGCTCTTCCTAAGGGCGTTCATCTTGGCAACAGTCGAATCCAGGAAACTCTCATCCTCAAAGATCAAATATCCGTTGGGAATCATTTTGGCAGTTTTTTCAAAGTTGAGCCTTTAACAGTAGATAGAAGATATACATAAGGTTCAAAACTTTGTTTTTAGTAACATGCACAGAAGCTTGGTCTCTAACTTGGCAAAAAACATGTACAATGAGACGTGAGCTTTCTGTCCATGCTACACAAAAGCCTCCCTTAATTAATTTATAATCACATATTTCTCCCCTCATTGTGCGCACAAAGCAATTAGGCTCATGAATGAGTAATGGGCTTACCTAATCAGAACTGACGTAATTCAGGGAGACGCACTTGTGCCGAGAAGCTGTAAGATGGCACCCAGGTCTTTCCTTCACTGCGGAGAGGGTGGCAGAGGTGATGCCAGGTAAGCAGCAGGGCACGGAGCAGGGGGGAAGGGGGGGCAGCCGCACTAACACAAACTCTCAGGCTTAGAGCGACTGTAATCAAGTCCTCGCGATCCCGTTGGCTATAGAGTCAAACCTTTTCTGTGTTGATCGTGTATTATAACCTGCAAGACACAGAATGAGGCAAATATAAGCTTTTCTTTTTTAAATAGGAGCACATGAGAAGATTATCACTGGGACAATGTGGAGAGATTGCTGCAGATCAATACACATATCTAGGTCCCAATACTCCAGGCCATGGTCCAATTCACAATCCAATATTGCGATAACTCAGAGAGGTTCGGCACAAAGAGGCATGAGACGAGGTCACACAGAGGATAGGCAGCAGGCCTGGGTATTGCCAACTCTTAATGACATGTCACAGTGGGGTATATGACGATATTGCAATTAGATTGAGACAGGAAATGCTTGCATCTCTGCTGGTTGTATGTCCACCATAGTGCATGTGTAGCAAACAACAAGCTGGGTGTAGAGGTGCAGAGGCTGATTTACTGATCTTCTGTAGCTACTGCCATCCAAAGCACAATTGCACAATTATCAGGAATCATATCAGTATCAGCAGATAGTCATCATTAGATACAGTGCGTCATCAAATGATGACATATTTAGAGCAGAATGTTTAGGTAATGCTGTGCTACTGTACTAAAATATCTGCATTTTTATGTATTTCTCTTACTACACTTATATATACACATATATACATACACATATATATATATATATATATGTCACAATTTACATTATATTAATACCAATCAATATCAATTTTTTTAAATGCATGTGTATTGGCATCAACAAATATGTCCCACAGTTCCCATATGAGTGCCTTTCTAACACAGACAGTACTGATGCAAGGGTTCAAAGCATTGATGCAAAATCATGAAAAATACGATTAACTGTATTGAGGCATGGACTGGACGTGGATTAAAACACGCTAATCATGAAGTACGGCATATTGGAAATTAGCTCTCTTAGCCTACTTAATCCTCTAAAAGTAGGATATCAGTCATAAGATTGGGTCTTACTCATTCTATTTTTCCTCTCCAATGTCCAATCCAGCATTTTCTGCTAATATCAGTCCGAAATTGATACCTACCATCTCTATAGCACACTATAAGGACTGATCTAGGATCAGCTTTTGCTTTGTTATTCGTCCTGACAAATAAAAGCTCTTTAGATGAACCAGATGTGAAAACAGCGATCTGTCAATCCATGACTGAACTTGTCCATCGCTGCTCTATATATAGATATACATACACGCATGCACGTATTACATATATACATACATACATACATTTAGGCTCTAAGCCCAGATCAGCCTGCACTCCTTCAGCCACGTGTCTCACACATCCAGATAGGAGTTACTAATCTGGCTCCAGCTCGGCCTCTTGCAGTCCTCAGCCATGGAACTGACTTAGTCCCCACAACCAATTATATTCTACCCCAAAATGTATACACGCCTCACCATACAGACCCCACCCCCAGATCACTCTGCATTCCAAGCAAAAGGCCCACCCTCTCCGCCCACTTCTGAGCTCCACACATGCTTGCACATGCTTTTCTTCTCTTCTTGCCAATAGCGTAGCTTCTCCCTTTAGACACACCACCCAGTCAGTCCAACCTCCTGACAGCTTTTCTGGAACCTTCCGTAAGCTTCACATAAACAGCATCAGTTCAACAGGTGGCCTAGTTTTCAGGCTAGTTTGGGAAGCCAGAGATAAATCCTAAGTAATTTATTACCACATTTTGCAAGTTTCACAATCAACAGAAGAGGGGAAAAAACTCTGGGAACATAGTACGTGCACGCTATGCACGAAAAGCTGCTGGCACGTGTCTCCATCCACTTTATCTTCAGCTTTTACAGATCAGCCAAGTGATGACCTCCCAAGAAAACCTGCGTTTCACTAGTTAAGAGAAAATAGCAGTCAAAAGGCGTTATGCTTGGTAAAGTGGGAGTAAACATGTTTTCCTCTTGGGGACAAATGCAGTGCGGAACACTTGTAAAAACTGGAAAGACGTTTGAAACCAGAAACCCAACATTGAGCAATTTTCTCCAGCTGTCCCTGATGTCCTTATTGTTCTGGCTGGCTACTTGTGTGCTGAAACGTATTAAAGATGAGATGCATGAACTCAATCAGCCTGTGGTAATTCCCAGGATTCCACAGGGCCGCTTGAAGGCAAGTAAGTTTAAAAGAATTCCATTCCGAGTTCACTGCAACAATTGAGGGTGTTCAGACAGTTAAGGTCAAAGATGGGGTTAGTCTGATATGCCATTGGTGACCTTAAAGGAAAACTCCAGTGTTCTTTGGGAGTTTTGGCCAATTTTCTCCCAATTTAGTCATGGCCGGTTCCACCCACTAGCAAGATCTCCTCCATTACACAATGCTACCAAGCTGGTTGGTTGAAGGTATCAGCCCACTGGATTCTATCAGAAATGTGTTTTAAGTCAATGAGCTTTTACGTGTTGAAATCACTGCCTGTTGTAATCAACTGCATGATGCAGATGATAGCCCAACAGTTCTCCTTTAATGTGAGAGTGGATGGTCCACGTGGTGCATTTATCAGAGAGGTCAGCTTAAGATAAAGCCTTGCAGTGACTCAGCTAAACATAAAAAACCTTTGCTTCACGTGCAATGTCCTCTACTGGAGGAGGCAGGCTGTGAAGGACAGAGCTGAAGGAAAATTGACAAAGACATGGAGACTAGCAATAAAGAAATACATTGTGAGTATGCATTCTTCTGCACTGTGGCTTTGACCTCTGCTAAAGCACAAGTTCAGCTGTGTGGAAGTGAAAAATGGCGAGAGAGGAGGAGGAATGGCACACTGTGGTGGCTGTTGTTCTACTGGCTGCTAAAGTGTTTAGCAGATAGCTAAGAATGCACAGCAGTGGGGATGCATTTCTAAGTCACTGTGGAAAAATGGGATGTAATGTTCTGCACGTGATTCTACACACAGTGCTCTAACAAGCTCTCCCCTGTCACTAAAGCATGAAACAGGTTGCGTGCGTGCGTATGCGACTGCAACTGCACTAATCTGTACCATGGGACCCTTCCTCACGCTAGTCACGCTCCACACAGGGACCTCAGCCAAGCCTCCAAAACCAGTGGACTACATATCCCAGCAGTCCTCTCCTTCTCTCTCAAAGGCATTCAAAGAGTTGTTTACTTCTTTGCTTCAAAGAAAAGTCGTCTCTGTAGTCTTTGAGGTCTATCTGGAGGGACTGAACAGATGAGATCAGACACTGTTCGGGTGTTAAAATAAAACCCTCCTTTTAAGCACATGCAAGGCTTACACAACATTAAAAAAAAAAAGTCATGGGCAGGACAGAATGTACAGAGATGGCAGCAAAGGGAGAGGCGAAATGAATCATTTATTGCAGCACTCTCAGAAAAGAACGGAAGCTCATAACCACAGCTGAAGAAGAAAAAAAAATGGAGATGTCAAAGCCTTGTCTTGTAGAGTTGCAAATGTTATTCAGGAGAGCGTGGGTTTTGGGAATGCTTTACCAGCAGAGCGAGGAGGAGGGAACCCGCATGGTGAAAAAGCTCTTTATGTGCAGATGTGTGTTCATTCAGGCAGCCTCAATTTCCAGAGGTTAGGTAACATCTGGCAGTATTTGCATGGCCTGCATGTCTCCCTCACTCTGGCTGTTCTTTCCACTTGCACATAAAGTCAAAGAACCAGAAAAAGGGGCCACTCTTAACTCTGACTCACTCCATCCACATATACAAAAAAATGGTCTATATCTCCTCCTTACTGTAATGTGCTGCTTTTCAAATGTTTCTATAGTCACATACAGAAAGCAAGCCTACCATTAATGTTAAATCAAGGCTAAATCTGGCTAAACCCCCCCATCCTAAAACAGGCCTGGTACATTAAGCTAGGTACATTAAATTGGACTTTGGCAGCTTTACTTGTTTTTAGATCACAATCTTAGTCTATTAACTGCTGCTGTGGGAAGGCAAAGGGCAAGGCAGCTTTTTCACAGCCTCGAGACGCTGATTATCTGAGCCATTATAGAGTGCACCTCTTCCTAAGCCCTATCCTCTATTAATACATTTTCTAACTTAAGAGCAGAAGTCATCAAGAGAATAGAAATTACAAATTAGGCTTTAGCTGAGCAACTGTCTGACTCTCCATGTAGGAAATTTGTTCTACTTAGACCAGGATTAACGATACAATAAAATAAATAAATACAACAGAGCATTGCTTGGTTTTATAATTGCAAAGAGGGAGAAGAGTTCTCTTCTGCAAGTTATCATCTCTTCTGTCCAGATGCAAAGCAACTTATGGAACTGGCTTGCAACTCACTCATGTTTAGCAGACTAAAAATCATCCACAAGGGGGCTCCAGCAATGCTTTATAAGAGCAGTGCTTCACATGAATGAAACGGTGTCCTTGTTTTTTATATTATATTATATATATCAGCTGAAGACGTTAATATACCCGTCAAAAGGCCCTTCCAGCATCGAGCAGCAGGTCTGGGAAACACCATCACCTCACAGAAAAACCATTCACTGGAAACGATTTGTTGAAGTATAAACAAATCACATGATTTTAAATGATTCCCCACTTGCTATATGGATTCCCCTTGGTCTTTACGGAATGAAAAAAAAAGTCTCTCTTTTCTCAGCTTTCTCTCTCTTTTCCTCCAACCAACCAACCCACATGGTATAAATATGGGGTACTTGCACATAACAGATAACCAGTCCCTGTCTAATTATCTACTGTACTCACTATTCGGGCCAGAGCAGTTGCTGATTCACTCATTTCTATTGAAGGCCAGCACAATGGCTCTAAGAATGGACAGCAGAGAGCCCAAAGTGCAACACTATACACATTAATATTAACTGTAGCAGCTGCATCTTAAAACCAAAGTTTATTGTTACTCTATGCAAGCATCATAAAAGGCCCTGGGCATCTGGTTGATTTTTATGGAATAATAAACAACTACCAACAAAATAAACTACCCATGGGGTGAACACAGGCCTAAAGAAACGTGCGTCAGATGGCAGATCGCGAAGAGAAGGAAGTGGTTCAGAAAAGAGAACGTCCTTTGCGTAGACAAGTTTGTGACCGGATTAACTTCTTATTCAACAACAAGCGTGGAAGCTCAGAGGAAACAGATTCGATCTATGGTTTGAGATGTAACTCAAGTCTAGACTGCAGAACAAAGGCAGCAATGAATGTTTTATTGTGCATGTCCATACAGACTGCAGCAGTATAAAAGGACCAAAGGCATTTCAATAACGTTTCAGGGACTTTGTGGCCAGTTACTAAGCAGTACTAAATAATTAGCAGCTGGCAACAAAGACTGCCACTAACTCATGCCATAGTCCTATTATCTCTGGCAGGATTTGTATTTGGATGTTGCACCTTGCACACTGGCAAGCACAGCAGCTTGTTTCCTGCTGAAACCAAAAGAGCAAAAGAAGACTGTCCAGCACTGACGCATGGCCAGAAAGAGAACTATCCACTTCCTGTAAGAGAGCGTGACCAGCATGTTCTTATTCGGCAATAATGTGAGGAGATTAAGAGAGGACTAGCCATAGCTGTTTTCTTGTTAGAAGATTGGGGAATATCCTCTGTTCTACAGAAAGTTAAGAGTCAGAATTATTCCCGGTGGTAATTGGAAACAGAAGTCTGAAGTGTTTAATGCCTCTAACATCACATGAAATGGCTACAAATACACTGTCTGATGTCTGAAACAATAGTTTTGCAAGAAGCTCTTGGCCTAAAATGTATTTTTTCCCCAAATGTGTTCAAGGCAGAGAGTTGCATGTAGTGCATTTTAGGGCTAAACAGTACCCAAAGGAAACTTATTTTGGATTTTACCACCATTTTCTGCTATCAACGTTACATATAAAAACTCAGAAGGCATATGTAACTTCACTGGTCACTTTGGCTAGCAAATAAAGTGGCTGTGTGTGCACTGGAGATATCATTTAATATTAAACTACTCAGAATGACTGGCTCAGCAACTGAGATGGAGAAAGTTTGAGTGGAATTCCCCTTTCCAGCAACAAGATTTCCAGCAAAAGTCTTAGCATTTGCCCTTTAAAAGGAATGGATGATGTCCTAAAGGGGAAATCCACTGATGTTTTAAAGTTTCTGCATAATGCAGTCACTGAGATGTAAAGAAATAGTCTTTGGGGACTATTTTTGCCCCACAACACCCTGCATGCATCTCTCCATCATGAATGGATTTTAAAAATTACATCTCAGACAATCATAAGCATTTCATGTAATAACCTTCTGTGATGCTGCCTAGCTTTTAGAGGCATTCAACTGTACAGACGTCTGGTTTCTACTGTTACAGCTCTGAGCAATTCTGACTCAGTAGGTTTCTCTAGAACACAGCATTTTATACCAAACCACTATGAATGACCGTTCATTACTTAGCCTTTTTTTTTTTTAATTTTGAAAAAAACGGTGGAATTGCCCTCTACCATGCACTGTAGGATAAAGGCAGGACTAGTTAACGTTTTTAATGTGAATGCCCGTACAGACTACAGCAGGACTAAATGACCAAAGGCGTCTCAATGACACATTTTAGAGACATGTTTGGTAGCTACTAAACAACCACTGACTGCAACAAAGGTTGAAGTGTAAAATCCCATCTTAGTTAATCCTGTATCAGTAAAGACCCCTTCTCTCTGTCAGGATTCATCTTTGGCTGTTGCATCTTGCACAAAGAGCTCAACGCACGGCCAGACAGAATCGCCTAATGTAATGCGCCCTTCACAGATACAGGAAGAGGTAAAATCACAGCACATGGGCCAGCAAGACTAGACGTGTACAGTACGCCCTGAGAAAAGCCACTTCAGGCCGCGCTTTCCTGACATTTGGCCATTGAGAAACAATACAATTCCGCCTGGCCTTTCAGTACACGCAGGCGCTTTTGACGACTCTCACGTGTACGGCTGCAAAACTGAACTTTGGTGTGGAATTAATAACAAGATAAACGTTATTAACCGACGGGGAGTCCCTGAAACCAAATACTACATATTTATCAATTCTTCCACATATATCAGTTCGTTAAAAGAAGAGAGTCAGTCAATTCCGACAACACCCTTCTAAGCCCAACGGTAGCTACGCGCTGAATTCTACACAGATGCGCATGCGCGGCACCACCTCCCGACACCTCCTGCGAGAGCTGATTGGCCAGAACCGCCACTATGAGCGGCGCTATTGGACGCAGAGCCTGTCAATCACTAGCCTTAGCCACTGCATTTATTTCCAGCGTAGAGGTTCTTGCATCATGTCTAGCTTCGACCAAGAGACCGTTCATCCCGCCACTAAGAAGAAGCCAGGCTCAGAAAGTAGGTCAGTGGGACTCAATATCTGATGTTGTAAAAAGTAAAATGTATTCCGAAACGTTTAAAAAGCACAACAAAACGCTTCATGGCGACAGGCAGAACCTCAGTTTCGGCGCCAAAGAGCAGCTGCCCGTTATAACTGATACAGTTACAATTAGACACAGCACCGGACATTCACTTCCCAACAACGACAAAGCAGAAGTTCAACACTGATTTGGTCACTTAAGTTAAGTGTCTTAACCCGAACTTCTTTTTATTCACGAATGAGCCTGGGGTGAAGGTGTAAAGGAATTATGCTTAACGTTACTTACATTCATTTCCATCCGCATGGACTTGACTAAGCCATAGTTTCCTGAGCTGGCTAGGAATCTGACAGGTAAATATACACGCCATCAATGGGGACATGAATTCTACACTACTTAGCGTTATGCCTCTTATCATTTGACTTTCACCGGTGATTATTAAAAACGCCATACTTTACCATTCCTTTGTCTTCGTGTCTTGTGATTAAGCAGGTTAGCATCAACGTCCTATTCAAAAAGTAGCTCGCCTCGAGCCCATAACTGAATATATGGTTCATTTGTTAAGATGGTTTATTTGTAAATGCCATTTCATAAATCTCAAAAAAGGCCACATGGACCATCTGGGCGCGCAAATCCGGGCACCGACACACCACCTTCAATGCACCACCACCACACAGAGACACTGCCTCCATACAGACAAAGAAAAAAGACAGTAAAGCTTATAGCAATATAACCTATATAGGTTAAGTTAGTACTAAAAGTAACCTACAGTTAGCATTTATCCTACCATTACAGTCCAGTTCCTGTAACGTGGTGCCTCTTTATCTCCAAACGCAAGCCACAGTAAAGCCACTACACAAATGACTCAGGACGGACATAAAGCACTTCTTACCTGATCAGGTTGACAGTAGACGATGGGAGACATATTTAAGGTGAATTCAAAGGCGTCTGACAGGGATATTGCCGTAGTAGCAGAGTCAGAGCACTGGAGTGTGTGAGAGAACGTATGTCTGCTGATCCTCGCGCTGCGGGGTGTGCAAGCTCGAGCTGCTGGCGCGCTCCACTAAAGCCACACCGCGGTGACGTAGAGCCGCAGCCCCGCCCACGGAAAAGTACGGAGTGAGGAAAAAGGATAAAACTGGTCCAACTACATATCATGTTAGAAAAGACCCTATTTTCTCATCGGGTTGCATGTATTGTTTGATTTCTGTTGTATGGGGTATAAAGTACGAAGAGAGGGATCTTAATAGGATAAGCTTTCATTAGTTGCTTCGTAGTAGGATTTTTTTTTTTTGGATTCAGAGTGACCTTGAACATTCCTGTTTACTGAAGTGCTAAAGGTTATTAATTTATTTAATTATTTATTTATTGGGTTTATATTGACCATTCCTAGTTAATAACAACTTAGTGTTTTTTTTATTCTGACCTTGAACATTCCTAGTTATATGACTACTGTGTGGTTGTATTTTAAATAATGTGTTATTATTATTTAGTTATTTCTGAATTGCAGTAGTCTCATTTGACTGTAGCATAAGGTATAAAGAAAGGTGGGCCACTGTTTATTGTATCAAAGCACGTTTTTTTTTTTTTCCAGTAGTAGGCTAGCTATACTTATACACTTTTTAAAAGGGGAATTCTATACCTTTTTCTAAATGACTGCATAATTCAATCATTGAGATGTAAACAAAGTCATTCAGGGTAGTTTGATGTGAAACAGAGAAACTTACAGACTTTGTTTACAGTGGTGGTGATAGGAACCAGGGGTCACAATGTCTACAACACAAATAAAGCCATTTTATTTACTATCCAAAACCAGCAGTAAACCCACAGGTGTCTTCTGAGTTTTTATGTGTAATGTTGATGGTGGTAAAAGAGTGGTAAATCTGAAAAAAAAAGCTTTCTTGTGTACAATTTTGCATTTACACCCTGCATGTACCTGTCCATCATAAGCGCATTTTGCAAAAAGGTATATTTTTGGCCAAAAGTGTACCTAAAAACTATCATGAAACAATGTGTCAGACAATAGCTTCCTGTTAGGTAGGTTCTGGAGGCATTAAACACTTTGGACGTCTGGTTCCTATCACCTCCACTGTGAACAATTCTTTCTCTGTAAGTTTCTCCAGAAAGAAGCATTTCACACCAAACCACTCTAACCATTTAATTACACAGACATTTTGCATTCCCCTTGAAGTACAGCTGCTCTCTTTTAGCTGTTTCATTGCCCACACTACACATACACTACACATACACTAAGCTCCTTTTCATCTTACACCACAACCTGCATGTTCTGTCACTGCATCATTACAAGATGAGTTCAGTTACATCCTGATACAGTTAACATATTTACATTTGATCATACAGCCTAAAATAAAACATTATGACCTTATGGCTGCTTAATAACTAGAGAATCTCTTCCCCCCTAGTGAAGAAGCTTCTAGCTTCTACTAAGTTGTGAAGCAGATTCTCCATGGTGGGAGGAACCTTCCAGCCGGTTTGTAAAGCGGGTGAGAGCCGGAGCTGACGTCAGAGCAACGAGATATCCCTCAATCTCCCGTGCAGGTAAGCTTCTCTCTGTCTCTCAATGAGAGTTGTAAGTGCTAATTAGATTAATGGATCAACACCACGGCTGCAGGCATGATGAACCTGAGAGAGAGTGTTAATCTGTTCATTCAGTGCCAGGCTGTGTCTGTAATGTCATGATAGCAGAATAGCCGTAACAGGGCATTAGAAACACACGGGGCCTTTGTGTACAGAAAAAGCTCGCTGACAGCCAGCGGCTTGTCAACTCACGGATCAGGTCACCCCAAAACAAAGTTACGTTTGTGACCGAGGGATGGGATTATACTAGAGATCCTGTTCGAATTCAGAGCCATTGTGGTTCTGTCATGGGGGCAGGCCAGGAGCGTCTTTGTTTGTATATGTAATAATAACACTGGTTTGTACTTTCTGAGTATTCAGTGAAGATCTGTTCCTAAGCAACGAATCATTACTGATCCCTCTCTAAAATAGTCGCATAGCAGTAGACACCAAAGCTTGCTGTGCACTTTGGATATGCTTTAACGAGTTTGGCAATAAATGTAGTCATTTTTGTTGCCTGAATTTTGCTTCCTTTAATTTGCCCTAGAGCTACTAGGTCAATGTAGCTAACAAGTAATGAAAGCATACCTCATTATTGAGCAAAATGCAAACCGCATACCTAAATCTGCCCCACACTGGGTCAAACTTTTCTTTAATCTCAAAGATACTTGCTTATGTGGTTTCTGGCACTGCATGATGTACTGTTATTTTTAAAAAATGGACAAAAGTATGTTTCATAGCTGGAAACGGTAGCAGCAGCCATCATTAAGTCTAAATTGTAGTAGCAATCTCACCTGGGCCTTTTATTTGGGCCATCAATATAAAAAATGAGATCTATATGGACCTGCTTATGGAAACAAAAGGGATGAAATCTTAAACAAAAAATCAGGATCCATTTTCACTGTAGTATCTAGGCAGATACAACTACGCAAACCTTCCCACTGGTTAGGCTATCCAACACTAAATCACATTCTATTCTCTGATCAAATGAACCAAATTATATCACATAGCAAAAAACACCAGTAGTAGCCAACCTGAATTTTACCTGTACTTTTGTCCATGTTAACCAGAGGTGAACACTCAGAACCTTATAGGTTTTCAAAAATGTCTGTAATTTTTAGTTCATTGTTACTTAATAGAACCTTTTGCAGGTTGTATTTAAACTCTGCAAGTGTTGTAGTAATGCACTTATGTCACTGCTAAGTTTTGGTTGGAAACAAAAGAGTTAAAGTCACTGAATGGTAAACTGTCCAATCAGGATTTATTTTCTTACCATATAGGTGGATACAACCAAGCAAGCTCTGCCATTGATTAGGCCTTCAGGAGCTGAACAGAACACATTAGAGAAACTAACAGCATAATTAGGAACTGACAGTAGAATTAACCAATCACATGTTGGTTTTCAATGAGAGGGAGCGATTTAGTGAAAAAAAAAATTGGGTCACACAACCAAATACAGCATTTCAGTCCTCATCAATTCACCATCCTTATTTACGTGGTGATAGGACATCTAGAAGATTTTACATTAAATGATTACCAGTATGCTCCCTGATGCCTGAGACATTGCTTTAAGATAGTGTAGAGATAAGATCTTGACCTGAAATGTTTTTTAAACAGCCATTTATGGAAGACCTGTATGTGCAGGGTGTTGTATGACAAAATACTACTTTAAAAATATGTATTGTTTCAGATCTACCACTACTGTACCATTATCAGAATTACATATAAAAACACACAGGTTCACTGATCATTGTGGATTGTAAATAAAATGGCCATATTTGCATGATAGAAATCATGACCGCCTGATTCCTATCACCACCATTGTAATGCACCATTTGGCAACAAACCACTCTGAATGACTTTGTTTTCATTTCAGTGATTAAAATATGCAGACATTTCAGTAAAATTAGTGGAAATCCCATTATATCATGGCATATTCCTGCCTCTGGACTTTCACTTTCTTTGAAGGAGTAACAATCTCAGAACACTGGAGTGTGCATCATCACACCTATTAGTTTTCAGCCTGTGTTAGTGCCTCGTCCTGTTCAGGCAAGAATGAAGCCCAGCCTCTGCTCACTGAGCATTGTGAAAGAATTTGATGCGACTGGTGGTGTCAGCTTTGGGCCTGCGCTGTGTATGCACTGTCCCCTGGGATTCAGCCCGACACTCCGCCTGTCTGATTCATAGATGGGGCTGAGGGGGCGGAGGGGGGGACAGAATGGGACTCATGCACTGCGTCTGCTCTATTTAGCCACTCACATCAAAATGGGGCAGCTAGAGAATAATTCAGAAGACTCTGCATTGCGTGAAACACAGCGCAGTGCTTAGACAGATGAACAGGTTTGACGTAAACATGTCTCTCTTGTAAAGGAGAATGAAATGCAGCACCATAGACTAGGAGCTTGAAACGGAAAACAAACAGTATTTTTCCCAGTGCATAATTGGGTGAAGGCTTTATGCTAACATTAATAATGTTATTAGATATTCCCAGTTATTTTCAATAGATTCACGGCTTAGAAATGTAATGTTTTCCTTCTTATTCTGAACAGAAACTCAATTGTTTTGTTCCTGCTGTAACGTCTCACCTTTCTACTGTTGATAACCAGTTGCAAATAAAAGAATGTTCTTCTGATAAGATACATATATTATTCAAATAACCCAAATCAGTCATTTGTTTGTTTCATTCTGGAATTTGAATTGATTTTATCACTATTGTCAGTTAGATTTCATGTAAAATGCTGTTAGTTTTCATCTTGATTTTCAGTCTCTGTTTGTAATCTTTGCTGTACACACTACCTGGTAAGTACATGCAGTCGCAGGCAAAGGTTTGGACACTCTAGGTCAGATTACATGTTTTTCAGTGCACAATTTATATGAATTTGATGAATGTAATATATTGGAAAAATAAAGCTTTTTAAAAATATAATATGTGCCATAACTTTTACACGTCACATCTTATTAGTTTTTTTTCTCCAAAATGTTAAATTCAGCAAATAAACAGAAATTGTGCACTAAAATATGCAAAAGTGTGTTCTTTGTGATGACTTATTTTCACTTAGAAAATCAACAAAACATAATTTGACCAGGGGTGCCCAAACTTTTGCCTACGACTGTAGCAGCAGCCAACCTTCAGGGCCAACCAGGCCTTAAGAGAAGGCCAAATAATTTATGTGAAATAAAAAATGCATGTTCAATTTTTTGTTCATGTGTATTTAATCGTCATGCTTGTTGTATTCAAACATTGTTTGTTTTGGTTGGAAACAAAAGGGTTACAATCTTGAAACAGCCAAAATAAAATTATCCAATCAGGATTTCTTACTCTGTGATATCTAGGTAGATACTGCCATGTGAGCTCTCCCATTGGTTAGGCTTTCAGGAGCTGTACTGAATGCCTTACACATAATTAAGAAGTGACAATGCAATCAACCAATCACAATTTGATTTAGAGTTACTGGCTTTTGTGTGAAGAAATCTCTTTCTAGGTCTTGTGGACATCCTAGATACTGCAAATATGAGCAGGTTGTTAGAAATGGAAACAGTGGCAGCTCTATGACAGGGATCTTTACTGAAACTTGTGTTACAAGCATGTCTTTACAAGCTTCCAATGTCTGTGTTTAACCTAGAACACCCAAAAAAATATTTATTTGAATTGCTTAGCGCTAACATACTACTAAAATCCCATATGAGCACTAGCAAAAATTAGCATTATCATACAGGTGTTTTTTTTTGTTGTTGTTTCTGACAAAGTTTTTACAATTATAACCCTCTAATAAACACAGTTCTGCACCGGTACTTAGGAAATATGAGGAAGAACATGGTGTACTGTGACGCATGCCAGCTTGTGTGTCTTAAGTTACAAAAACACAGTTCTGTGGGTTATTGTGACCAGAACCTCATTATGAAATTTTCATCTGTGAGAGACCTCTTCTCATAACAAAGCTTGGCATATGACTGGTGCTTCAGGCACAGGGAGTGGTTTGGTGGGAACATCTTAATCAACACTGGGCAAAAACGTCAGCATGGCACTAAGTCCAGCAAGTCCAAGCTAGTTCAGTTAAGAGAGGTGCTGTTGGAGTTTGGGGCTTGTGGGGCTTGAACCAACACCCTGCTGCATCACCAAACCAAACACTAAGCCTAAAATCAGGCCTGTTTTCAGTGTAGTAATGATTCTGTGTACATTTGAGAACAAAGCTTCCTGTTGTAACAGACTGTGTAATACAAGCAAGACAAATTTGTCAGTCAGAACTCAAGATTGAATCTTGTTCTAAACACAGTTTCTTAAAACCAGGCTTGGATTTCTGTACACGTAGAGTTGGGAGAGTCAGTTATCCTCTCCAGTCACTCATCGTCTGGCACATTCAATTTTATATATATATATATATATATATATATATATAAATATATATTATCAATAGTATTCGACTTTCTATGTTAGTGATGAAAAAATGAAATAGCCCCATTTTAAAATGCTTTTTGGATTGACTTAAACTTTTCCTTATTTTCCACTATAGCCTATGTAGTAATATCTGATTAGCCAAACTTTTATCTTATTAAACTAACACGTTGCTAGCTAGGTACTAGAACTCTCTATAATAATACCACTATTAGGATTAATGCTTGTTACTTTAGCATCTATTACTGTCTGGGTACTGTTAGCTTCCTTCATTTCTTGGTTGCTTTGGTGTAATTCTATTTAATAGTATCTCTCTCATTTTCTGATTTAAATGACAGTGTCTGTACAGTTTTCTGTTTGATGATTTGATGATTCTGAAAAAAATGTTGTAAAAGAAAATCTCTAAAAAAACACTTTTCTTTTTAAAAAATCTTTTTAAAAAACACTAAATTGTTACTTAACAGCAAAAAATGTTTCCTCAATGATGGTAAAAATCTGTAAAAATACAGTCTTTCAATTTCTTAGAAATACTGCCTTTTACTGTAATTCAGCAGTTTCACTATTTCAACTAGGTATTCTGACCTACATT